GTGGCAATTAGAGTAAGAATAGATTTGAATACGATATATTTTTTTCATATTCCATAGAAATCTTTCATTTACTGGGTTCGTTTTCAGGACCAAGAAACTGCGTGGGTCAACGATTGGCTGAAATGGAAATGTTTCTTTTCGTCACTGCCTTAGTGCAGAAATTTGACATCGAAAACGAGGCCGATACCCCACTTCCATCCCTACGAGGAACGTATAAAGGGGCACACATCACGATTCCTTATAAAACGTGCTTAAAAAAGAGAGCGCAGTGAGAATTCAGGACAATTGTTTAGTATAACTGCATTGAGAAAGTTTTTTTATATTCATATTGATTCCATACCACTTTTATTAATTGTCATACTCAAAAGTATCACCTATATATAATTGCCTATAAAATATATCTTAAGTCCTGTGTATGGCACGCCAAACTCACAAAAGTGAGCTAAAAATAGTTTCACAGTTGATAAACTAGGTTTATGGACTGTAAACTATAGGTTACAAACCGTGAACTATAGTTTTCATATGTAAATCAATATTTAACGGTTGTTAACTATAGTTTACGAATGCCAATCTGAGTATATCTGTCTGTAATAAAACGTTAACACCAGATTTTGTTGATAAACAAAGATGCACGTCTGTAAACTATAATTTAAAGTCGTGAACTATAGTTAAGAGTCGTTAATCATAGTTTCACAAAACGTGAAACTATACTTCTCAGATCGTTAACTATAGTTAAGAGTTGTAAACCATAGTCTACATATGAAGAAACTGTATTTATCCCATGTTTACCCCTTTATCCTGTGGATATACCTCATGTGATATCGTTTTCATATCCCACACTTAAGTGCAGTTATGACATCGCAATGGTTTTTGCATTAGCATGATGAAGTAAAATATAGCGGAGTCTCATATATAAACAGTGTAAAACATGGGTTGTGAAGTATTAAACATGGGATAAAAAGAATCTCCCATGGTTTGTAGCTGGTTTTGATTTTTATACAACTCGTTGTGTGTTTTTATCCCCTCGCCAAGGCTCGGGGATAAAAATCACACAACTCTTTGGATAAAAATCATATCCAGCTACAAACCATGGGGGATCCTATATATATCTGATAATCTATGTTTTGTAATCGCAAATGATTGTTTTCAGTGTTTGGTATAGTTAACAGTTCTGAAATATAGATTATAGGGTTAACTATGGTTTACAGATGTAAAATATAGATTAACGATGTTAACTTTAGTTTCTACCCGTAAACTATAATTTACAACCGATAAATTTAGTTTATCGACTGGGAAACTATGTTTAGCTCAATTTTATGAATATGGCGTTCCATACCTGTGTATAGTTTATTCTTAAATATTCCTAATTCATTGCTGGAATTTCAATGAGTAAAACTTAAACTGATAACACACAATACATATTTTTAAGTCTATATGATTTAATTATATATATATATTTTAAAGAAATACCTCATATATTATATCAATGACCAATTAAGAACATGTGTAAAATTATGTTTTTTAAGGTGAAATATCCCTCTGCTCCAAAGTTCACCATCTTTTTTTAAAATTCCTATTTTTGATTTTCATCAAGAACAACAGCATTAGATTCAAATGGAAAATAGTTAAAGTATGAAGCGCTGTTTATTTTTTTTCAGAAAGGAATACTATGTCTTATCATGAGGTGAAAAATTATGATATGGTAAATAGAAAAATCAATAATATTTTAGCTTACAATAAAATTAAAGATATGAGGTATATATGAAAATTATATTTTCATCATAATTTGCAAATATTGTCCTATACTCAGCACTCAGGGCCATTTAGCAGGGAGGGATCTTCTTTCGTGCCAGCGCCTACTGCGACACGAGACCTCGGTTTATACGGCCTCATCCGAAGGACCGGTCTCCACGTCCCAAAGTAGTATATGTATTCGAGCCTGCGACGTAAGGATCCACTCCTTACTTTGAATTCAAGAGCAGACACTCTAACCTATGTGCCACGCTGGCGACTAAATAGTTTGAAGTATTTGACATAATATTTTCCTTTGATATTGTGTAAATGTAGAATATCTTTCCAACGAATGAGTCATTTGGAACCTTTTTGGCTACCCAATTTAAGCTTTTCATTACAATATATCACCGAATTAATCTATGATTATTGTGCAAGCATATGCTTTTGATATTTATTCCTTGATTCTTTTTGTCAAACAAACTATGACTACAGAAAATGTCTTTGAAAAGAATATGCATAAGCTTTAAATTCAGGAAATTTGAAAGGGACCATATCTAAGGTAACCGCAAACAGGCGGAGATATTTAAATCACATAAATGTGGAAACAAATAGCACATGTGATTTTTTCAAAATCAGATTCTACACTACCAATTAAAATGGAGAAGAGAAAATTGTGTAGTATTATGGTGCACAAATAAAAAATGATTCCAGTGTTCAGGAATGAGGTAGATGTCTCACCCTGCAAACTGTACTGCACAGACGACGTGAGTCTATATTTACTATAATCACACTGTAGATACCAGTATTCTTTCAAAACACACCTAACGAAATATATACAAAATAAGATAGGACACATATAATTTTTAAACCATATTAAAATTTGCGCAAAAAATCTTCGATGGTCTAATTTGAAAGTTCGATAGATACTGCCACAATAGAAACCTCCAATGACAAACAATGAAATGTTCAATGAAAGCGTTATTGTGTATTGAACTGTGGAATGTCACGTGAGTAAAGTAATTATAATATAAATCGTTGACACTCACGGATCTCTTAATTTAGTGGCTAAATTGGCCGTAGTTTGGAGACCTTTTCAAAGAATTAGATATGAGCCGCAATTTGTCCAACGTTGTCCTTTAGATATGTTAAGGGTTAAATTGAAATACACATTTTGTGCAAATGTGATCAATGGACAAGTTGTGGCTCGATGCAAACAATGTCGTTGAAAACTGGTATACATATAAATAACAATAGAAATGTGACAAACATGTTAGACCCCCGTCTCAAAAGCCAGTGTCGCTTGGTATTACTTACTTAAACACTTCCATGTTATATACTAGTAATTTACCAAGACCTGCTCTTAAGGGGGGACCTACGTTGTTCTACGTCATGACAGCGTTATTTGACATCACAATAGATACATTTATATTGTACCATTTGACTTTTGCAACTGGGATGTAGACCAAACATTGTTTATAGACAGCAATTTACAAAAATAACTGTTTAAGTTTGTGTTTATTTATAGGGTTTGATAATATAAGAATTCTCTTCCGTTGGTTGATAGCTCGTAGCGATTTCAGTAGTGAAAAAAAACCACGATAACATGATGATATTAGTGCAAAAAGAAAAGATAAAATTCAGCAAAGAAAGCAGCTTAAATAAAAAAAAAAATTCTTGTTTACTAGTAATTTAGGCATTACATTAATTGCATATCCTCGATAAACTAAAATAAAATTCTAAAAATATACTTGTTCCTTTATTTGCTTATTGATTATTAGACTTAATCATGCTATATATAAGTATTGGTTGTTGACGGAGAGAAAAAATGTAGGAGTACATGCACAGAACGATCGGAATGAAGAAGAAAAGATTACATCAGTGCAATTTATTACTAGTGAAATCAGAATGCTTGTTTTTCGCAAAATATGTTGGTCAGTGCTTACGTACCTTTGTCTTAGTGCGGAAAGGTGAATATTTGTAAATTTAAGAAAACTTCATATTTCTCGTTTATTTTATCACAAACGTATTTGTTTCTTTATTAAAATTACAGATAATTCATTTCTTCAAAACTTATGACTTACAACATTTTCACACAAAGACCTTTTCATATATTGCCTATTATGCATGATGGAATTGTTAAAAATACGACAGAAAATGGAGTGGTTCTTACATTCCGTCATAAATTTCATGCAAGATGAATTGCAATCAATTTGCCTTCAATTTTAAAGATAAAAATCAAATATTTTAAATGCATGTTAATGTTGAATGTGATTTGACATTTTTGGATCTTTTTAGTGCATTATTATTCTGTAGAAAAAAATGACTGAAAATAATCGTATTGTTTTTGCACGTTCTCTTGTGTAAAAATTAGCATATAAAGTTATTCTTTGAATGCTTTAAAATTGAAAATTTCATACACAGAATTTTCGGACATAGGTTCACCTATTGTTTAATACCTGTCAAACATAAAGTCAATGAACTTTGGGATATTTTTTTGCGGAAAACACCGGATCCCAACTCTCATAGCTTAAGTTCACTCATCCTTTATACGAATATCCTTAGAAAATTAAAAGACAAATTTTAAATATCTTCCAATAATATATTAGACTGTTTACACTCGATTAGAACCTACAATTCTTTGTAAGGAGGTCTATCTGGCCTACATGGGTAAAGATATGGAATTGTTTAATATCTGAAACATCATTTAAATTAAATAACTAGATTCATAAATAAAAAAGTTTTTAATGACGGAATTGCAATCATTGTTTGAAATTATCACAGTATTTTTATTATTTGGTGAATAAAAACCCGTACTTTGCAGATTAATCGCCCTGATTTATATAACATCACATTTTGAAACAGATATAGCGCTTAAGATATTGAAAAAAAAAAATCAGAATTTTTTTTCATGCAATAAGAAGGAACCATTAAATCCAAAGAAACTTTATAGCAATTCTTTTTAAAAGTATAATTCTAGAAATCTGTTCTCTGGTTTTCAAGCAATTTAATAGAAAAAAAGATCTGACACCGGTGAACAGGCTATTGGGTACAGGTATTTTTGTTTGCTCATATTTTGCTTTAAAAATTCTACTAAGCAATACATTCAAGTCAACTAAAGAAAATATAAATGAAATATAATTTTATGAATACATTTACAGTGTATTTATCAGCTAAATTGCTTTTTCCTTGAAAAGCCGCATTCTTTCTTTTGACATATGTCCGAGGGGTCGAATCTTTCATAGCTGGACACATACGATTGTGAAAAGTTAATTGGACGTTGTTTTTATTTGTTGTTGATTTTTTTGCGGATAAGAGCAGAAAACATTACAAAACATTAAAAATACTATGAAAATGGAAATTTCTAATAGTAGCTGCATAGCAAAACTACAAATAAGATATCAATGGGACAAAAAGCTGACACTTAACACAATTCAGTGATATTATTACACGAGAAAATACAGTAACTATAAATGTCCATTGGAAAGTATACCTCGTACATTCAATTAATTGCGCAAAACTTGTTTCATTTCTAATACTGCAAAACGTCGCCTAATGTGGGGCAGTGCTTGGAGCATTTGCTGCATCACTGCGTCAAATGGGGGCGAGCTTAAAGACTTGGGCTTGAATAAAACTGCGGTACAAAGACAAGACAAACGTCCTTTAAAAGAGACCAAACACCGAGGTCCCGTTTGGCAGAATGTGTCTGTGTGAAATTTTTCAAAACCCTTAGGAGCCAAGTACAAGTCTCAATTTGCAATCCTCCACAGGCAAGTGGTGGTGTCGTAACAAAGTGAAAATGTCACATTTCGTTACGTTTCACAAACAAACAAAATGAAAAGAACCTGCTTGTACATGAATTGACTTTGACAGTAAACAGTAAACAGGATTTGGTGTTCACATACCAAGTCCGGTAAAGCAGGATTTCGGAGATCAACTCTCACATGCAATTACATACATATTTACTTGTTAAACGCAATTGATTACTGTTGTATTGCATTATTGTTCACTGTTCAGGCTAACAACCAGAAGAGAAGGTAGGTTTATTGTATAAAATGACCTAATTTTATCTTACATTTACTTCTTTTTGGTATGCAATCAATAAATAATTGTCCAGAATAACATACTTCAGAATTATACGGATGTTTGTTTTAATATCGAGCATATATGACCAATATAATTTTATGTATAATGTTGTTCATATTCATATAAATTATTAAAAAGTTGAATTTTTTGATAAATAGACACATCTATGTAATCACACTCACAACCGTCCATCCACACTCACTCCCACCCTCTCACACCTACACACGCACACACACACACACACACCCTCACACACACACACACACACACACACACAAATTTTACAGTTGGGTAAAATGCTATTTTACAATGAAGTATACGGAGATAACGAACACTCTTCAGGCTAAAAATAGTATAAACACTATGATAAACGTGATGAAATTTAACTTCCAATCTTTAACTTCTCTTACTTATGCAGTAACATACCTTCATCCACTGCTTATACAGTTTTTACCTCTCGTTGATTCGATACTCAAGAGCATTATCTACGTATGTACAATTTCTAAAAAGAATGAATGAATGAATGAACAACACACGAAGAAGGCAAATAAATATACAGTCATAAGTCACACTTTTACAATGGTTTCGTAACGTTTTCCTTTTCAGCCCCGAAGTGTGTCGTAATTAAGGAGAATAATTACGGAATTATTTACATACTCCGTAATTATTGTTTAATTTGTCGAGTGCAGTAAATCGCTGGTTTCCGAATTACATTTCAGCTTAGATGACTTAACAAATTTTGAATTAGCTGTTCGTTTATATATACTTTTTGTATATATTACTCTAATAAGGTAAATAAATACATGTACTCATAGCTTTAAAATGCTTTGGTGATTCTCATTGTACAGTCATTATTTAATAAATTAATACTGATTGATTGAATAGGGTCTATTGTTTAACGTTCTTCTCGAGAGCCGCAACCACTTGCTGGTAGAGAGCTGCAAATTTTGTCCTATACTCGGTACTTATAATTAGGACTATTGAGCAGGGAAAGATTTTTTTCGTGCCAGCACCCACTGCTACATTGGACCTCGGTTTTTACGGTCTCATAATAGATTAAGCACTTTATTTGTTTTTAAACTGAAGTCAAAAATTGACTCATACATCATTATTTTAGAGGAAATTACTTTGTGAATCATTTCACATATGTTCAGCATACATTGTTAACATAAGGCCAGAATCTGATTTAAAAAATGTAACTATTGCTCAAAGGTCATACATTTTACCTCCAATAAAGATATGCATGAACTCTTGTTCGTCGGTTGTGAAGTGTTAGTTAGCTTATGCCCGATAACAATCACAATACCACAAAGCGTTTTGATATTGTATTATATAACATTCGTTATTCATTAGTAATTGATTCATTTGTATTGATTTTCAGATATGTCTAGCCGGTGCTACGGCAATTTGCCTCCTCGGGAACCGGGATATCCCCTAATAGGAAACGTTGGTTTTAAAGCCGAGATTCCAGAAATTTTGTAAGAACAACTAAATTAAAGAAACGAAGATGTGTTTATGAAACTCTGATACCCAAGTATGGCAGTATTTGGTAAAGGTCGAAGTTTTCAACTGCAAATCAAATTCCTAGATCAAGGGATAAAAATATTCTTACCAAATGAATGTACTTGTTCTCAATAATATACACGTATCTGTATAATATGAAGGCTCAAGGACAAACAATAATAGTCATGACCAAGGTTAAAGCTTTTTAGAATCCGGTTCAAACACTGATGTCAAGGTCAAATGTAAGGTACCAAAAAGGTGACCTTCTGATAAAAACAGACAAGCCCAAGCATAAACACACATAAAATATGAGAGCTCTAAGATCCAATCAAATTTAATATTATTAGCAATATACGCTAAAGTTTTTACGGACAAACAGACAGGTAGACACTCCTAATCTTCGATACAAGGGGTACACAATTAAATTAATATAAAAAAATCAAATTTTGTTCTATTTCAAATCAATATTGATGATTAAGGTTTCACTGGTACTTTAAGAAAATAGTGTTGAATTGAAAAATTTCAGAAATCTATGGCAAAAACATGGAGACTTGTTTACATTGAAAGTATTTGGACAGACCATAATCGTAGCTTGTGGACACCAAACGTTACATGAGATGCTGGAGAAACATGGAGAATATTGTTGTGAACACCCTTGTGTATATGGATACACTGAATATTTTGAAAGTTCAGGTATAAATATTATGTTGTTTGTATCCACCAAATTGATATGTAAAATATGGTCATTGCAAATATGTCCTTTGTATGTATTAGGAAAAAGCAAATATCTTAAATAAGATATGCTATTGTCTTTAAGTTAATGATTTATCATTGCATTATAAAATGGATAAAATAATGTGTCAACTTATCTAGGTATAATTGGTGCCTTTGAAAATGTCTGGTATGTTCAGAGGAAATTCTTAAAAGACACATTGACATCAATAGATTCCGGAGGCTCAAATCTAGAGACCCATGTAGCCAATGAAGTCCCAGATTTTATTAATCATGTAGAAAATAGTGGAGGTCAACCTTTCAGTATTGATGAATTGCTAAAGAAAAGTCATTACAACATCGTCTCATCTATCATATTTGGGAAAAGATTCGAACTTGGAGATGCCACATTGACACGGCTTGTGGAATTGGTTTATGAATCGACAATTAATACTCCAGATCAAGCAGTCTTGTCTTTCTTTGAGTGGATGAAATACCTCCCAGGAGATTGTTTAAAAGTAAGACGTCAGCGATATCTTATCGACCAGATTTTAGCAATTATACAACAGGAGGTAGATGAACACAAGAAAGTCGAAGAAAAACCGAATTCTACAGACCTGATTTATAGCTTTTTTAAAGAACAGGAAAGGAGAAAACAAAGCAATGAGAATCTGGTTGGCTTCCAAGGTATTCTTATCTTTTCTGAATGAAAAAGTAAAGTTGATCAATCTTCAACTGTAAAATCACATATTTTCGTGGGTCATTTTTTCGTGGTTTGGGTAAAAGTTCTTGTTTCGTGGGGATTTGATTTCGTGGATGAAGAATTGTTTTATAATAATGCATGCAACAGTGAAAATTTCGTGGTGGACATGAATTCGTGGCTCTCTTCATACCTTGAAAACAATGAAAATTAACCCCCACGAAATTTTGTGATTTCACAGTATTTCCTTAAAATCTGCACGGATTATGAATGGGGCAAAACCCGTATCACTGAAAATACGAGAAAAGGATCGGGTGCTAAGTTGAAGTAAGCATCGTCTGCCGATCAGATGTAACCGCTGTAAGGCATCTGTACTGATCCGATACTTAACACGATACCCATAGGATAAAATGTCAAGATATGTCACTATAACGATCAAAAAATTTGTGAATGGTCTGTATTGAATTCAGAATTGATTATTACCAGATGTATATATTGCGTAACAATCAGATTAAAAATAAAACACCAATTGCAGGTGAAAATGGAATATAAGGAAATATATTTTATTTATTCATTCGTGTTTAAGTGTAATACATTTGAACTATTATTGATAATTTAATTCAGAAAGGTTTTGGGATGAACAAAATTTGAAAACTGGGCAATTTTTTTCTTTTATGATTATATATTATATTAAAATGACGTCAATCTATACACTATACGTTTTGAACAGACCGAGACTTGCTTCTGATGGGATATGGACTTCTCCTCGGTAGCATTGGCGGTATTCTGGCCCTTCAGTGGGCGGTGCTTTACCTGATGCATCATCCCAAAGTTGTCTCTCGCATGCAGCGAGAAATTGAGGAAAACGTTGGAAACAGCCGCCCTCCTACCATGGCAGATAAACCACGTCTTCCCTACTGTCAAGCGGTGATGTACGAGGTACTCCGAGCAGCATCAGTAATCCAAGTTTCCCCGACTCATTGCATTTCCACTGATTTAACGATAAATGGCTACCATCTAAAGAAAGACTCGTGGATACTGTTTGCGTTCTGTACGGTCAACATGGATCCGTCTATTTTTAAAGAACCAGAAACATTTAATCCAGATCGTTTCATTAATGAAGATGGCCAAGTATTTGGTTTTGAGAAGGTCAACGTATCTTTCTCTATAGGTTTGTATTACGCATTTTCCATTTATTCATACGTGTAAGTGTAGGAAATGAAATTGTAATGATTTGATTTAGAACTGGGGTATTTGATATCAAGAGTAAACATAGCACATATTTGCTTCAATTAATTTGATTTTATTTTGCACGGATCATCTCATATAATTTAATCTAATCACCAAAATGACGTTTAGTTTTAACCCCTCGACTATCAGAATTGAAATAAAATTTATTCCGTAATGTGACTTTTTCGTTCGAGGATTTGATTTGTAAATTATTATAAACGGAAGTTTTTTTTTGAATCTGTACATGTGATCTTAAAAGAAGATATTTAAAAGCTTAATGTATGTCTTTAATGATTTAAGTTCTTTATGATAATTAGAATACGAAGAAAATTGTATTACTATATATACTCAACAAAAAAAGAAACGCATATATTCAGATTAAACATGATAATCTAAGTTTTCAGTTTAAACCTTAATTTTTAAAGTGACTTAAGAGTGTGTTGTGATGAAAATCAAATAAGCCCTATGTTCCAAATTGACGTGTTAGGTTGATGTCATTGTCGTCGCCTCTAAATTCTAGAGGCATAAGTCTTTAACAATCCATATGTCCTTTGCGACCCCTCAGCGCTAGTGGATTTCCAATGTACGGACGTCTTTCACGAATACCAGCTCCTCTCAGTCTTTTAAGAACAATTGTGCATTCTATGCTGATTTCAGCAGTTTGTACAGCAGTTCCGAGTCGATTGCGCAGGTGCTGATGGAGGATCTGACGGTCCTTTCTGGGTGTGTAACCCGCAAACGGCGAGTTCTAGGTCTGTCATCTGTGTTTCTAGCTGAAGGAGACGTGCGTTTAACTGCTGCAAAACCGATTGATGTACACCAAATGCAGTTGCAACTTGCAGTTGCGTAGTTCCGGTTAGAATCATTATTAGAGCCTTATTGTGTACATCTTTGTTAATGCGTGGCATTGCAGCATCAACATTGCAATCAAAGCAAAAATATGGGCTTAATAGGAATGATTATTGTTTCTTTAAATCCAAAATTTCATTGAAATTAGACCCCCGAATTACCAGAAATCATGCAAAACACTATTTTCATAAACATTATTAATCAAGGGAAATAATTCAACAATTTGTGTTTAAAACCCCATGGTGAACTTTAAATAGGTCACAGGTATATAATGATAAAACGATGTCTGTTCCATATGCTTTTTAGCTCACCTGAGCCGAAGGCTCGAGTGAGCTTTTCTGATCAACGTTTGTCCGTTGTATGTCGTTGTCGTTGTAGTCGTCGTCGTAAACTTTTCACATTTTCATCTTCTTCTCAAGAACCATTGGGACAATTTAAACCAAACTTGCCACAAAGTTTCCTTGAGTGAAGGGGATTCAAGTTTGTTCAAATGAGGGGCCAAGCCCTTTTCCAAGGAGAGATAATTATGAATTAATGAAAAATGAATGACGTCTTTTAAAACTCTTCTCCTCCATAACCAATGGGCCAAGAAAGATGAAACTCATGTGGAAGCATCCTCAGGTAGTGAAGATTCAAGTTTGTTCAAATCATGACCCCTGGGGGTAGGGCGGGGCCATAATGGCTGATCAAATTTTTCCATAGAAATATACCGGGGGGGGGGGAGGGTATAGGAAAAATCTTTAAAAATTTTCTTCTCCAAAACCACTGGACCAGGAAAGATGAAATTCATGTGGAAGCATCCACAGGTAGCTTAAATTCAATTTTGTTCAAATCAAGACCCCCGGGGGTAGGGTGGGGCCAAAATGGACGATTTAAGTTTTCCATAGAAATGAATACATCAGAATTTTTTTTAAACTCTTCTTTTTAAGAACCATGAAGCCATGATTGGTCATATCTTTATGTAAGCATCCTCACGTAGTGTTGATTCAAGTCTGTTCAAGTCATGGACCAGAAGTAGGGTTTGGATAGGGTGGGCCACAATTGGGGATCAAAGTTTTGCCTAGAAATATAATGGAAATTTTTTTCCCCATAGAATAGATAAGCCATGATTAATCATACTGATATGGACGCACTCTCAGGCAGTAAAAAGTCAAACTGGTTCAAATGAGGGCTCCCAGGGGTAGCTGGGCCACAATGGGGGGGGGGGGTGTCAAATGAATAAATATAAAAAAAATCATCTGCTCAAAAGTAGTTGGTAGTTTAAAATTCCTGACACCCCTCCCCCATGTAAACTTCTCAATACTGAGGTGATTTCTTCTTTATTTCCTAGCCAATGTGCTCAGGTGAGCAATGTGGCCCATGGGCCTCTTGTTCAAAATTTCTTTGATGAGTAAAAATTATGCGTTTCTTTTTTTGTTGAGTATATTTTTCATATTGCATAAAAATCCTTCATTTAATTGGTTCTTTTTCAGGACCAAGAAACTGTGTTGGCGAACAATTGGCTAAAATGGAAATGTTTCTTCTCATCACTGCCCTAGTGCAGAAATTTGACATTGTGAACGAGGCCGATACCCCATTACCATCCTTAGAGGGAATGTATGATGGGGCACACCTCGTCATCCCTTATAAAGCGTGCTTAAAAAAAAGAGTGCAGTGAGAATTCAGAACAAGTTTTTATTTCAACTGCATTGAAAATGATATTTTATATTCGTATTGATTGTATACCACTTTTGTTAAGCGTCATACTCAAATGTATCACCTATATGTACTTGCGTATAAAGTATATCTGAGGCCCTGAATACATAATATCCTCAATGACTGCATGAATAACATCCAACTGTTTCTCAGTTTCTTTTGTTTATCAATTGCTATACTCTGAAATATAAAATTTCTAATCCATTACCGTAATTTCAATTTGTAAAGCTTTAACTGATGCAAATTATATTAAAGTTTTTAAAAAATTCAAGATTTGATTATGATTATACATTTAGAAAATATCTGACATATATTATGTCAATGACTAATTAAAACATTAACAAAAGTATGCTATTTAAGACGTAAAACAGACAGCGGAATACAAACACGTGAAATAGAGAGAGAGAGAGAGATATCAGGTGGGGCGATTGCTTCGTTTCAAAGCGACAGGAATCATATTTGACTTTGTTAAAAGACCCAACCGAAAGAAATAGTAAAACATTATACATTTATTGTCGGACCCAAGAACCAAAGTGTCTGCCTGAGGCCGTTAGGCCGAAGGCAGACAGTTTGGTTTGAGGGTCGACAAAACGCATTTTGCCCGAGGACTCAGTCAATAAATGTTTTGTTTTACCTTTCATTTTATTTATTATGTAATTTGTACTGTTTTCCTTGACCTCAGGTCCTCATCGTTGAACACCAGTGAATGAAAATGAGATTAGGCTCCGCTATTCTGTGACGTAGGTAAACGGTCCAAAATCTCACCAACCGGTCCAACATCTCACTCAGTGGTCAAACACTATTTTTTATGCCCACTCATCAAAACAAAAGAAATAGGTAGAACATGAATATTGTAGACTCCAAAATTACTTGTATTATAAAAGGCGCTCTCTAATGTTGCATGGCAAGAGTGGCGAACTGTGCTGATGACGTTCCACGAGGCTTGAGGAAACCGAGATAATTTACAGCGAAAATAATGGATGTTCCCAGGGTTTGTAATCCATATTGTGTATATTAAGGAATATAGCAATGTTTATGCACTATAAATGCAAAAAGTTTCAAATTATCGAGTCACAAATTCAAACATAACATAATCATTGTGTAAATGAAGAATTTATAGGCATACCCTTAGAAAATTAAAAGATCAAATCTCTATCGATTATATTTTAATCTGTTTACAATCGATTCGAAACTTAGTTTTTATGATGGCTCATATGGCCTACATTGGTAAAGACATGGCATAATAGATACGTCAAACGATGGGCCAGATATGGAAAAGAAGACGTTGACACCTTGTCAGTATGGTTAAATGTATCAGATCGATGTTAAAGTCGGGTATTAAAATCCTTCTGTGTTCAATAATCCAGAAGTGAAAAAAGAATTAGATTGATTACATGATCAGTACGTATTGGTTACTGCCGACAAAGCAGGTACATGTAACAACATTGTCTTCGTTTGTAAGGCTCATTATATAAACTGTATTTTAGAAGAAATTGGATTTAATTCTACGGGGGTAAACCTACTTATACTCAAACATTCCTTTCTAAGGTAGAAATTTTAATACCACAGAGCTAAAATGATTTGAACTACCCTATATGTATTGGATTCCGAAACTTCATAAAAATCCTTACAAACAAAGATACATTGCGGGTTCCTGTAAATGTTCAACAAGCCTCTTTCCTTTCTCCTCACTAAGATATTGACAGTTGTGAAGGAAAAACTTCAAGAGTACTGTGCAACAATATATTAAAGAAGTGGTGTGAATCAGATGTGGATACTCAAAAATTTCAAAGAACTTTTGGACAATTTGAAATCACAAGATTTACCAAAATCAGTAGCTTAAAAACTTACGATTTTTCAACTTAATACACGCCCCGTGGGGATCCGGGTTAGAATAGGTCCTCAGTACCCCCTTGCTTGTCGAAAAAGGCGACTATATGGGGCGGTCCTTCGGATGAGACCGTATGAACCGAGGCCCCGTGTCACAGCAGGTATGGCACGATAAAGATCCCTCCCTGCTCAAAGACCGTAAGTGCCGAGCATAGGCCTAAATTTGCAGCCCTTCACCGGCAATGGTGACGTCTCCATATCACTGAAATATTCTGGAGAGGGACGTTAAACAGTATACAATCAATCAATTAACTTAATACACAACCATTCCTCGCGATGAATTAAGTCCAGGCTTTTTGATATCATTGACAGCTGCTTTTTCAATAAAAATGAATCTCGGAAATTTACTTATCTGGTCATTGGTTATTTGCAAAATTATTTTTTTAAAACACATTCTGATTGCACACACAAGTACTCTGAAGTTGACATCAAAGAGTTACTTGAGTTTCTGATTGACAATATCTATGTGGTTTTTGGAGACCAGGCATTCAAACAATCTATTGGAATTCCCATGGGTAACAATTGTGCTCCGTTATAAGCAGACCAGGACTTGTGCAAAATCTTATGCGTGAAAAGAAGAAAACACTTTCTGTGGCCTTCTACTTGACATTTTGATATATCGATGACGCATTGCCAATTAACAGTGGTAATTTCCATTCCTACGTCGATACGATATATCCTGGTAAACTTAAGACAAAATATACCACAAATTCTAATACATCTGTTTCATACTTGGATATTTTACTAGAAAAAGACGTTAATGGTAATTTAACAACAAGCTCTATGATAAACATGATGCCTTTAACTTTTCTCTCATCAACTTCCCTTACTTATGCAGCAATATACCTTCATCACCTGCATACGAAGTATATATATCTCAGTTGATTCGATACGCAAGAGCATGCCCTACGTAAGAACAGTTTCTAAAACGACATAATTCATTGTCAAGCAAGTTGATAAAAGAATAATAGCAGTGTCGTTTAAAGTAAAAATTTATCGTTAAGTTAAATGCTGACTTACGTTTTTCATACTTATTGTTAGTCCATTAATTTTTATAACGCACTTTGAAAAATTACGCACATTGAAAAAAAAATCAAAGTGCGGTAAATTTGGGACCAAATCAACGCACTTTGCAAAAATAAAATTTCTTTTCAAAGTGCGTTAATATCGACCATATTAACGCACTTTGAAAAAAATGTGTATGGCTTGGTCAATATTCTTGCAAATCGTAAGTATAATAAATAATTGAATCTTTTTAATAACTCTTCGATGATGAGGTTACTTCAGTATGTGAAAGTGAGCGATTTTTATTTTTCTATGCTTTGAAAATTCTTTCTGTCTTAATTAAGAGGGCCGAGTGGGTTTTAGTGTGTGAAAACTATATTTTTATGCCATATATCACTTACAATAACCCCAGTGTACATGCCAAGTTCGAGGAAAATCTACCGTCCAGGTATTTTTAAGGCATCGTCTAAAAACACAGGTACATTTACTAGAGGATTATGTAGGAAAAGCCAATTTTTTGCACTTAATCAAAGCAAATTATACAAATACTGCAATAGAGTTTTTGTCCAAAGTATACTATTTGATAACAAATACTATATTGTATATTATATATTATGTAAGAAACACAAAATTCTACCGTCTTGTTACCGGAGGGAGCGTATCAAAATGCTAAAAATTAACGAATTTTACTGTAAATATCGAGTACTACAAAATCTGATGGGTGCAAAGGATTTATATGAAAACATAATACAAATAAAGGGAATAATCTCAAATTTCAATGTTTTAAATTTCAATAGCGTATATTTATCAAATTTTCTTTAATAACATTTTATTACCGCTTTCTTTGAGAGCTCCAGCTTATCATAACGTCAAAACACACTGTAACAACGTCAACCTACCTATCAAATGCAAAATCGGTTGAAATCAATTATATAAAATTTTGATTATATTTTTGAACCCGTAATTCCTTAATTGTGTTTTATCAATTAAGCGAAAAAAGTTGCATCAAAACAGTAAATACGCTTCATTTTACTACGATGCGCGAAATATTGTGCAATGAAAACCACAGTCGGCCCCCTTAATTGATTATTTTTATTTTTTTTCCAGTTTGCATGCATATTATGTAAACTAAATTAATTGAAAGTTTCAACGTCATATCATTTATGCAAATACATATATTTGTGTGTAATATAGGCATCGATACCAGGAAGGGGGGGGGGCTTAGGCACACAAATATTCTGCAAAGATAAACTTATAAAAGGCATTGAAAATTGGGCTTACCTTGAGAAGGGGGGGGGGGCAAAAAGCTGACACAATTCTAGTGCTATCCTTAAACAAAACATAATTATAAAAGCAAAATTGGGACGAACAGCCACGTACAATCAATCAAACGAAACTTGTTACTTATCTAATGCTCCAAAAACTCGCCTAGGTGGGACAATGCTTGAAACATTTGCTCTATAACAGCTTTGAAAGGGGGCAAGCATTACGTCGCGAGTTCGAATCAAACTATAGTACAAAGAGAAAGGTCCTTTGTACCACAAACCGAGGTCCCGTTCCGGAGTAAGGGCCTTCGTGAAAATGATCTCTCATTGCTCAAAACTCCTAAACGCTCAGAACAAATTTTAATTTGCAATCCTCCACAGGCAAGTGCTGGTGTCGTAATAGAAGCAGAACATTCCATATTTCGGAACGTTCAACAAACACACAAAATAACAAGAACCTGGTCGTACAGTCATGTTCTGTCTTTTGTAAACAGGATTTTGTGTTCATTTAGTGAGTCCGGTAAAGCCGGATTTCGGCGGTCAGTCTTCACATGCTATTCCATACATATTTACTTGTTAAACGTAATTGATTACTGTTGTATTGCATTATTGTTCATAGTTCAGTATAACAATAAGAAGAAACGGTAGGTTTAGTGTATAGAATATCTCCTATATTTATCTTACTTTTGACAGTCTTTTTGTCATCAATCAATATCATTATTAATTGTCCAGAATGATATGCTTCAAAACAGTGAAATCACAAATTTTCGCGGGGTTTAATTTTCGTTGTTTTTGAGGTCTGATTAGACCGACGAATTTATGTCAACGAAAATTTGACCCAAGGAAAATATGTGATTTCACGGTATTTTACGGATGTTTGTTGTATTTTGTAGCATAATATATAACCGGATGAAAGTAATTTTTTTGTGAATCGTTGAACATTTCCATATGAATTGTTAACTTTGTCTGTAAAAACACAAACCCGATTCAAACACTCCCACACCCGTATCCGTCCTTGCACACTCACATACCGTTATTGTGGCTCACATGCATACACACAAACAAATTTTACAGTCGGGTACATTTCTATTTGACAATAAAATATATGGAGATAACAAACAGTATTCATAATCAAAGTTCATAGAACAATAAAAACTAGGAGCAGAGCAAACACAGACCTCCAAAACATCAGAAGTGGGATCAGGTGCCAGTTGGGAGTGAGCATCCCTTGCCGACCGGTCACACCCGTTGTCTGCTCCTTCTCTTATTTGGGAAATGACTGAAAAATCAGTCACCAATACGTGGTGTATATAATAGACTAACAATTAGTATAAAAACCTCAGTCGGCATTTGACTCAATGACAAATATAATTGTATTTGCCGACATGGTCACTGTATCGACCACAGAACTTACGCAATGAAGACTTTAAATGCTTATAATCTCGTTTCATCAACTTGTTTGTTAAAGCTGACATGAATTCTTAAAAACACAACATTTTCATCTATGTACGACTTGTTTCATACCAACTATAGCCGTATTCCGCCATATTTCTTTCAGATACATTGTCTCATTGTAACGATATATACCCCGATGCGGTCGTTACACTTGATTGATTTTTTGGCTTGGGTATCGACTTGTGCACATCTCCGATGGTAAAGAACATGAGAACACATTAGGTGTTCGAGACATTTCAAAAGCACAACAAACAACATAATAATCATATTTCTGAATAATTATTGATTTGAATCAAAAGGAAAAAAAATGCAAGTTTGGAAGAGAAATTTAGATGCAAGAGTACGTATTTTACAGTGCGCAAATTTATGCAGAATAAACTTGAAATAAAAAGCAGTAAAATCTGCAAACATAATTTGAAATTATATCATTTGAATGGAACAAAACAACCTACGTCTTTGATTTGCAGGTCCTAAAGATGCAATTGATGCATATCGAGAAAACGCCTCGAACGCTGTAAACGTATCCATACCTGGAAATAGGTTACTGCATCGGTTAGAAGATATGCACAAGTCAAGTGATATACACCCTGAATCCCATTTATTGAAATATGCATCACAAAAAAAGAAATAAACTCCATAAAAGCTCAATAGTAAACACACTGTCATTACTCCGTACAGTCGATACACTGAGTCCGTGCTGATCAAATTTTGGTCAGGGAAAATATCACAAGTGGAAAGAGAAGGTATTTGCGCGGCTGAAAAGGGGGGGGGGTTAAAGTATTATAACTGCTGTTCATAAGCTATAATTGTGAATTGTCTATCTACATGTAGTTCTAACATTCTATACAAAGTCATGTATATAGTCTGCAGTTGGTTTGCATCGCAAAATTCATTTGTCAATTATAACTGATTGTTTTAGTACTAATCTCCAATCGAAACCAAGTAATTTTTATGTGTACATCTAAACGTTCTTTAACACACACGGAGAAAGGCCATCCCCTGTTCAATTTCACATTTAGGCATTTGGGTTTTTTAGGCGCGGGTGGGGGGGCATGCAAAAATAATTGACATGACCGTTATTTAAATATTCTTGGAAGACTGACATTTCTGCCGAATTCAATTTTGAGATTTTTTTTAAATGGGTCACTCCGACCACAAAGTATATGCATTTTGAGGGATGTAACTGTATTATGTTGTTACAGTGAGTCTTTCGAGACTTCAGTATTCCTGCTTGAGAGTCTAGCTTTTTTTTCGTATAAAAATAATTTCTTTAGAAGTATTTGAGAAATAATTTTAAGAGCTGGGGTAGGGATACTTGACACTGGTTGAATACGGATAATTTTTATTAATTCTTTTGTATATTGAACTCTCTCTCTCTCTCTTTCCCTCTCCTATCCGTTAGGGCAATAATAGGTATAAGATCCTACGCACTTTGTGATGTTCCATTTATTAAGCCTTAGAACTGATCAAGAATTTTTCTCAGGCGGGATGTCGAAACATAAATTGAATAATAATTTTAATTTGGACAAGAAATTAACCCACACGCCCAAATTGAAATAGAAACTAGAGATATTGTGAGCAATGAGCTCTCTAAATGATACCCCGCCTCTCATATGATTATAATGGCAAAGTCCATATTTTGCTGTTGTCGCTAAACCCAAAATATGTGTCGAATCAAAAAGCAGGCACGTAGCACCGTAATTTAAAGTGTTGGCCAGGCAGAGATTTTTTTTCATTACCTGAAAAAGTTGACAAGCAAAAAAAAAGAACAAAACAAAACAAAACAAAACCACACCTTCAATTAACATTTCCTATAGTATAAGTTAGGTGGCGGAAAAAAGTGGGGGGGCTCCCCCCCCCCCCCCCCACCCCCGTTGCTTCACCCCTGAAAAGTAAAATAAGATTTGCACAATGGTAATATGTAATAAACCTAAGATTCTGTGAAAGTTTCATTAAAATTCACCAAGTGGTACAAGATGATTTGCGGATAAGAGATTGGTACCCCAACGCGTATGAGACAGACGCACGGACAGACGGACGGACATAACGGTTACTATATACCCTCCCACTTTTCAAGCCGGGAATATAATAAACGTGAAATATACATCACAGGAATGGGAACATTGGGAACTTTCTCAAATTCCTTCTCAAACGTACGTGTCGAACCTGGCCTGGACAACAGACAAAAAAAGAGAATTTGTAAAAAGCTAATTGTAGGTAGAATGTGGAATGGGGAGTTTGCTCTCTCTTCTTATATGCTTTTTCTAATAATCATTAATTATTTATGTCTAGAAATTTAATTCACATTTAATTTTATTTTCATTATCATTGCACCACAGAAGCAAACTCATTTATTATACCCCTCGCAATAAGTTGCGTGAGGTATAATGTTTTTGACCCGTCAGTCAGTCTTTTTTTTTTTTCATTTTTTGGTTTCAGGTGGGTTACCCCAACTTCTCATAAAACACTGCACAGAGTTTTGTCGAACTTTGCAGATATTTATAGGAGAAAATGTGTGTGTAGATATGCACATCACCAGAAAATTCAGAATTCTTACATTTAGATTTTGGCCATATCTCGAATATAGAGATGAGCAATTTGTCAGCGCAATTCCTCATAAACCGCTGCACACAATTTCGTCAAACTTTGCAGATATTTAGGACACAATGTGTATAGATGAGCATATTACATGTAATGGAAATTACGATTCATTTATTTTTTTCTGGGAATTTCAGCACTTCGACTTTTGGGGGAGCGTGGGGTATGTGAACTTGCTCTCTTTTTTTCTTTCATTATGCACAAAATTATAAATAACTTTAAATCAAATTATATTAGGTCTACTAAAGCCTATACACAGTATTTATTTCATGATAATTAATCTGTTTCAGACGTTTTTCAGAAATATTTTAATGAGAGTGTTGATATGCATGTTTAATACCCCCCCCCCCTCCTATCACAGGAAAATATCTTCAAAAGGTACGAATGATTTGCAATCATGCATGCTTTTTTTTTCAAATAAATTTAATGAAGTTAAACCATGTATAATCATAATTTTTATTTACTACATTTACAAACAAGAGCAATGTTTATTTTTGAAAAAAAATTCAATCAACCCCACTCAGCTTTCAACCTTTGATATTTTCCCTGGCCAAATAAAATGATCGGCATGGGCCACGTGTGTCCAAGCATCTTTTACTTTTGAGTTAGCAATGGATTACATGACTTCTGAGATGCATTTTTCAATAAAAGTAAAATAGGATAATTCTTTCGACATGTGCACATCCCTGTAACGAAAGCAGTATTCAGGTAAATGTTTTATCACTGCGTTTGACGCGTTTTCTCGACCTGCATGGATTTTTGCTGTACATAAATGTATTCCGTGTTAGTGTACTTTTTATATTGCAGCAAATGCATTCAAAAATAATTTAATTCTTTATAGTTCTATTTTTGTTGAATTTTTACTTTTCAAACATGTATTGGTCGTTTATGGACTTTTAAAAACTATGCTATCGGAGATGTGTACATGTCGACAGCCAGACTAGAAAATCACTCAAGTGAAACAATTCGTCAAGGCTATATATAGCAGGTACAGGTGGCCAAAAATCTTCGATTAAATATGGCGGAATCGAACAAATATGTCGGACAAGGGCGTACAGGAATGTAGTAAGTCGTACAAAGATGAAAACTGATGCCTTTTTAAGAGTTCATGTCAGCTTTAATAATTAACCTCGTTTAGAAATTGTACATATATAGAGCGTACTCTTGCTTGTCGAATCAACTCACCACTACTATTGTTATTGAGCTTTAAATTCAAGGCAGTAGGTTTATTCATTCAAAGGTTCATGGTAGCCTAGTGGTAGAGCGTGATCGGGAGGCCCAGGTTCGATTCTCGTTCCCGGCGCCGCGCCAAACCTAAGACGTAAAAATAGGTAGTGACTGTTCCTAAGACGTAAAAATAGGTAGTGACTGTTCCTTCGCCAAGCGCTCGGCATCAGAAGTGAAAGTCACGGGTCTTTCGGATATGACCTTTAAAACGTAGGTCACGTGTCACGGTAGGCACTGGCACGATAAAGAACCCTCACTGCTCAATGGCCCTGAGTGCCGAGTATAGGTCTAAATTTGAAGCCCTTCACCGGCATACGGTGACGTCTCCATATGAGTGAAAAATTCTCAAGAGGGACGTTAAACAATGTACAATCAATCAATCGATCAAAGGTTAAAAAGTAGACCCGGTTTAAAAAATAATATGTACAGAAAGAAGGGTATTGCTCTAGTCTGTTTTCCTTTGAAAAATGTGTTTCCAGACCTTTCTGAAAGATTTTTATGATTTTAAACAGAAATGTTTGAGGGAGGGTGTTTATTACAGTCTACTTTATCTTTGCTTTTGTGATTAATCGTGGTGAAAATTGGAGCTCACTAGTGACAATTTCTCCAAAATCGCCCGAAACGATTGAATCTTCTACACCCACAAACTTTTTTTTTTACCTTTTATGGCTATTTGTATCAATGCACGCAGTGGATCTTACAAGAACAATTGACCAATCATTAAATGAATAGCAATGTATAAGCAAACTACATATCTTTATTACTTCGAACACGTAATTTAGATTTGTTCAGAACAATCTTTGATCGATATGATTTCCTTTAGATAACCGTTCGTAAATGTAGCTCTTTTCTGTACATAAGATTGTAATAAGCTACTGCAATTTTAAATAAATATTCACCAAACATCGATGCTTTATATTTTTAGACATGTGTTGCAGAGGCCAGTCCAATTTGCCACCGAGGGAACCAGGGTATCCCCTAATAGGAAATCTTAATTTTAAAATGGAGACACCAGTCATTCTGTAAGAGTAATAAGTAGATAAAGAAAATTGCAACTTCTAATTACTTTTTATTTGAATTTTTCTTAATTTTCAAAATAAAAATTAATTATAAAAACATTTATTCCATTTAAAGTATTTCCATACTCACAGTTTCATTGGTGAAAAGTAGAGAAACTTCATTCATATTCTTTATTACAACTTTAGAAAAGCATTCATCCAAAATATATATTTCTTTTGTGTGTATAAATAAGAAATATTGAAACAGTTTCTGAAAAAATATGACATAACAGAAAGATGGTAATAAAATTGTTTATACAAAGATTTTCTCCCAGAAATTTATGGCAAAAACATGGCGACTTGTTCACGTTAAAAATGTTTGGCCATCCCTTGATCGTAGTGTGTGGTTCTCAAACTTTACACGAAGTTCTGGTGAAGAATGAAGAACATACCTTTGAACATCCAGATCATTATGTCAACAAAGAATTTTTCGAAAGATCAGGTCTGTAGATTTACAAATATGATAGAAATTTAAAGAAAAGAATTGGTCTAAATTGTATTACCTGGGTTGCCAACGTCAGGATGACTGACGTCAAAAAAAAAAATCCGCTTGACGCAATGTTTAATATATAAATTATTTGAAGGCATTTTAAAAGGAGAACTTGTCGTTTTCTAAACTAAATGGTTGATTTAAATATAATGAATGAATTAATGCTATTTAATTCATTCCTTAAATACAATTGGTTTAACATGCATATGTAACTATTGGTTAGAAAAAGAATCCTTAAATAATATGAAAAATAATCTTTCGTTTTATAAAGAAAATGGTAAATTAAGTCTAAAGGTAATTATAACAAAATAAAGTATGGTGTGAACAATGAATTCAAAGCGGTAAATGTTCATTTCAGGCATACTTGGGGCGTTCGGAGAAATTTGGCGTATGCAAAGGATATTCGCCATCGCTATGTTGAAAAGCATAGATTCAGGAAGCTCAAATCTAGAATCTCGTGTACTCACTGAAGTCGAAGAATTTATAACACAAGCAGAAAAATTTGGAGGCCAGTCTTTCAAGATTAATGATTTGGTAAATATATACCATTACAACATCGTCTCATCTCTCATATTTGGGAAGAGATTCAAACATGGAGATGCCACACTGAAACGCCTTATAGAGTTGATAAGCGAGGCAGTAACTAACACTGCTCACCAAGCGCCTACCTCTGTCCTTCCATGCCTGAGATTTCTTCCGGGGGATAAGTTTAAAGTTAAACGCCACCGACATGTCGTGGACGGAATTCTAGACATTATGCAGAAGGCCGTGGATGAACACAAGAAAATTCCAGAGGAACCGAATTCTACCGACATTATTTACAGTTTCTTTAAGGAACAAGAACGGAGAAAGCAAAACAATGAAGATCTAGTCGGCTTCACTGGTATATCATGTCAATAGTTTAATTCTTTCTACATTTTCTTATCAACATCAAGTACATACGCACGTATTGCTATAAAACAAAACTTCGGCACATGAAGACATATATTGTAAAATTCTACCCGCAAACTGTAAGATGACATAATTAAAATTAATATTCTAGTATATCAACTTTATATGTTTTAAATTGAACTAGGAATATAAGTAAAAAGCGAGGGTAAAGAGTGAATTTGTCGAAGAGAGGTCTGCAAAGAAACAGGTTATAGTAAAAGAATAAGTCAACAATCTCGATTGAAGTCATTATTTCATTATTTTTAATAAATAAAGTCCACATTTTCGCGAATGTTGGAGGATAACCTCCGAGGTCGAGAAATGTAGTTTGAAAGATAAAAGCCGAGGAGTTAGCTTTCAAATAGCATTTTGAGACCGAGTAGAACGATACAATGGGGAATGCTCAGTCCTTAATTGAACTTGATATATTACCTGATGTTTTTATGCTTAGTGTTTGTCCTCTTCATATTTTTTATTGTTGATTTGGATTATGTGTTTTTTAAATTTGATATCATTTAAGTTATTTTAAAGGAATTGTAAAAACATCCTTGATTATTTTTCTCATAATACCTTTTTTTTTTTTGGATTTTCTCATACATGTATCAAAATGATCTATTAAAATTCTTAATATATGTATGACAAAAGGAATTTTTCTTACAGACCGTGATTTACTAATAATGGGATACGGTCTTTTGTTTGGTGGACTCGGCGCTCCTCATACACTCCAATGGTCAGTTTTATATCTGATGCACTATCCTGAAGTCGTCTCTCGCATGCAGAAAGAAATTGAAGAAAATATAGAAAACGATCGCTTCCCTAATATGGAAGATAAGCCACGCCTCCCTTTCTGTCAGGCTGTGGGGTGGGAGGTTCTCAGAATAGCGTCAGTGGTATATGTCGCCCCCTCACATGCTTCGTCATCTGATTTAACGATAAATGGCTACACTATACCCAAAGGCGCATATTTGCTACCAGCCTTATGTAGTGTCAACATGGATCCAACTATCTTCAAAGAACCAAACACTTTTAACCCGAGTCGCTTCATTAACGAAGATGGTCAATTGTTTGGTTTCGAGAACGTCAAAACCTCCTTCTCATTAGGTTTGTACAATGCACTCTGTTAGAGGAAATATATATGTATTCTCTATGTAAGAAAATAAGCTATAGACTTTCTTGTAGCTACGTTTCATACATGTAGTTGTTGATTTGCTTCAATCACAGCACTATAGAAGAAGGGTGATTCCTTATATTCCATTGGGTCCACACGTTGAACTCGTTGAAAATACACAACGTTTGAGTTTAAAATTTATTCTTTTGAATATTTTCACGTAAAACAAAATACGTGTTCACCGAGTTCAAGTTCTACAGTTTAATTTGAGACGAATGTCCAGTAGAAATATTCTTTTAATTTCTATTATTTTTTCCAGGACCAAGGAATTGTTTAGGTCAATGGTTAGCGGAAATGGAAATCTTTCTTTTCATTACTACCATAGTGCAGAAATTTGACATCGAAAACGAGGCCGATACCCCAGTTCCATCCTTAGAGGGAATATATAAAGGGATACACGTCACCGGCCCTTATAATGTGTTTCTGAAGAAGAGAGTGCAGTGAGAATTCAGAACATTGCATCCCACTTTCATTGTGTTTCAATACACTCAAAAATACATTTTCATGCCAATGATCATTATCAGACTTTAGGATTAAAAAAAAAAATTATTTAACAAGATATAACAAATTATAGTATTTTTTTTTTTTTTTGAAACGTTGATTTCAAGCCCTTTTATCCAAAAACAGGCAAATTGTAGGGAGGGAGGGAGAAAATTTATTGGTAGTGGCTTTTCGAGGTTTTTTTCCAAATACCGATAAAAGAATGCATAATTTGATGAATTCTTAAAGCTGACTTCTAATTGTTTTCAAGTCATGAGAATTGCTTTCCACTAAAGTAATATTATTTCTTGTTCAGACGATAAATTTAAAAACTTATAATTATGGACCAAAAGTTTGTATGCTCCCTTTTTCAATTAAATAAGATCATTCATTAAAATCTGTAAATTCAGACGGGAAAGGAGTAAAGAATATTGAATACCTTCAAAATATTGGCTCATGGGTCACATGGTCAACTGAACATGGTATACTTAGTTCAACAAGTACATGTACTGTGTAAATTTTAGAATAACGTCGGCTTTTTCCCTTTAATAAACTATTATGAAGGATTGTGCATTTTAAGAAGCAATCATCGTAGTTTATGAGACGCATATCAAATTTAATCAATAATGTTTGAATCCTTTAAGTACCGCGGTATACTGTATAGAATATTGCTGTATAGAGTACTTGAGCCTCAATCATCGAGATCGAGAGTCATGGGGTTGTCGTACATGTATACCTTCATGAGTAGAATCATCGTAGTACCAAAGAAAGACAACGACCAACCTTCAATCCCAAAAGGGCATCCAAACAATACCAAACCAGGAGCAGAGCAAACCGGGCCAACATGCAATGGAGGAAAGAGCACCAAAAGTTGCCATGAATGGGAAAACGGAAAAAATCTCTCGACAACCCAGTGTGAAAATAATAACCCAACAATTAGTATGCAAAATTAAGTCAGCATTTGAATTAATGATAGATTAAATTTGCTGACAGGATCATTGTATCGACCATAGAACTTAAGAAATGATGACTTTTTACCAGACTGTTGATAATTTTATTTCATCAACTTAATTTACAATAAGTGAACTTGTTATAGAAATTGGTTTTCATTTTCGTACAAAATGCTCTGGCGTATTTGAAATTGGTCCAGTGATCCTGGAGAAGAAAATGATGGCTCTGTAAAAGGACGCCGACAACAGAAACAAGAGGCCCACGGGCCTTATAGGTCACCTGAGTATCGTGCAACAACTTTCAAACAATTAAAATTGGTTTGTGTTTTAAACCATGAAATTCACAATTCACAATTTTGAAAGAGGCACCATTGCTCATCATAATGATAAACTTAGCATGCTTACTCTATTTACCTAATACCCAGATGTAGATCAGAGTAACAAAGATAAAATGCACTTCCACTTTATAACCAGTTGTGCACCTCATCCCAAAGGAACCACTGACCCTGGGGCCACATATTTCAAAATTTTGCAAATTTTATCATAAAATGGTTGATTAATACTAAAGAGCAGATTTCAAAGCATTAATTTATTTTCAGACTATGAACCCCCCCCCCCCCCCCCCCCCCCCCCCCCCAGACCAGGGGGCATAAAAATAACCATTTTGCTAGATGCACCTTTCTTCATCATAAATATATATACTTGGATCATTGGCATAAAACCCAGGAGCAAAGGAAAAGATTTTCTAAGAATTAATGCATTTTCACTATATAATAGACCACGCCCTAATACCAGAACCCCTGATCCTTGGGCCATAAAATTCAAAATTTTGGTAGAGGCACTCTTTCTTAACATAACTATGAACTTAATTAGTTTATTTAATACCCAGAATCAGAATAAAATATTTTCAAAGAATTAATACAATTTCACTATCTGATCAATAGAGCCCCGCCCTAACACCATAACCCCTGACCCTGGGGCCATAAAATTCACAATTTTGGAAGTGGCACTCTTACTCATCATAACTATATGTTTAGTTAGTTCATTTAATACCCAGAAGCAGAGAAGAAGATTTTCAAAGAATAAATGCATTTTCACAATATGATCAATAGAGCCCCGCCCTAACACCAGAACCCCTGACCCTAGGGCCATAAAATTCAGAATTTTGGTAGAGGCACTCTTGCTAAACATAACTATGTACCTAGTTAATTTACTTAATACCCAAGAGCAGAGAAGAAGATTTTCAAAGAAATAATGCATTTTTACTATATAATCTATATAGCCCCGCCCTAGCATAAAAACCCCTGACCCTGGGGCCATGAATTTCACAATTTTGGTAGAGGACTCAATACTCATTATGCCAACAGTTTGCCTGTTTGATGTCCAGGAGTAAAGAAGAAGATTTTTAAAGATTGCAATAATTTTGGTGGTTTTGGCCCCACCCCTCAGGCCCCAAGGGGGCAGTGACCATAAAATTTACAATTTTTGTTCCCCTTTACCCATAAATGCTGTATACCAAATTTGGTTGAAATTGGTTCAATGGTTTCAGAGAAGAAGCTGAAAATGTTCAAATGTTAACACACGACGAACGACGGACAAACACAGATAGCAATAGGTCAGCTGAGTTACTCTGGTGACCTAATAAATTTTGATCAGAAAAGTCGACTTGAGCCTTCGGCTCTGATGAGTTAAAAAATATTCATATCCGTCTTCCTGTACGAAATGAAAATGGCAGGGTGGTAAGGGTACAACAACTCGTTTAATATCCCAAAGATTTTCAATAGCATTTTGATAATTTAAGTTTTTAAGATTATTCAAAAAAATGCATAGGTAAGTAAAACTTATTGCTTTTTTATTGTTATCTCACTTTCATTCAATGTCATTTGCACAATTGTCATGTTTCGAGTCCTAAAAGTTGTCATAAGTCCTGAAGGCCTTCCAGCATATTTTCAATATCTCTGAATGAACTTTCAACTTCTTTTGATAATTTATTTTTGGGGTCTGTAATATAGAAAAAAAACATGTCCACTGTTGAAATTTTCCAAGACATATGCGCATATTTTAACATCCATTATTTAATATATAACACTTACTAGCATTGCTTATTGTCTAACAATTTTTCTAGTGTACAATGTAGTTTATTTTTCTAATGACATTAAATTCTTATAATCTCGTTTCATCAACTTGTTTGTTAATAATTTACCTCGTTTAGATATTGTACATATGTAGAGCGTACTCTTGCTTGTCGAATCAACTCACCACTACTATTGTTATTGTGCTTTAAATTCAAGACAGTAGGTTTAATCATTCGAAGGTTAAAGAGTAGACCCGGTTTTATAAAATACTAGTAATATGTACAGAAAGAAGGGTATTGGTATAGTCTGTTTCCCTTTGCAAAATGTGTTTCCAGACCTTTCTGAAAGATTTTTATGATTTTAAACAGAAATGTTTGGGGGAGGGTGTGTATTACAGTCTACTTTATCTTTGCTTTTGTGATTAATCGTGGTGAAAATTGGAGCTCACTAGTGACAATTTCTCCAAAATCGCCCGAAACGATTAAATTTTCTACACCCATAAACTTTTTTTTTTTTACCTTTTATGGCTATTTGCCAAGTATATTTTTAGTTTCTACATAAATAGTGTAATAAAAATTCAAATAAAAAAATGGGGGTCAATATGCTTCTTTTGGCGCTACAGTGCATTTAATAAGACCTTTTTGCACTTAAATTTGTGTCTTATCAAAAATAACATTTTCGACGTTTTCCGTCCAATATTTTTATCAAATTAAAGCATGAAACAAAATGAATTTTAAGTCTGTTTAAAAAAAAGACACTTTAATATTGTGACTGAGAAAAAGTTTCAAACTGCTTCGCATGATCAATTATTTGACCTTTTTGCACTAATAAAATGTGATTTTTCTGGCATTGAAAATTTAATAAGCAAGAAAAATTATTTTAAAGTCTTAAACTTTTTCTGATTTTAAGCAAATAGGTCAAAGTTATCTTGAATATTTAAAAAAGAACATCAAAAGTTGGGGTATATGATGTAAATTTTCAGATAAAGCTAAAAAAGTGTCAATTTTACGGTAAAATTGGCTCAATTTTTTCCCGGATTTTAAGAATATATTTACTATATTTGTCACAATTTGCTGATAGAATTCATAAGAAATAATTAAATAGTTATTTCAGAACCAGCAAAACACATTTCACTGCAAAAAACAGCTTTATGTGCAACCAGCATGGAAAAATAGGAATCCAAAATTAACAATTTTGGACTGTTATAGTTCAAAAGGGAAATCCTATCATTTTCGTCTAAAAAACCTTCCGCCACAAAATATAGTCCCAAGCTTAATTCTACTTGAATCATATTTATCGCGGGGTTTTTTTCATTGAATATAGTTCGATTTGCGTTGTAGAATTAAGATTTAATGTTAGAACATAAAAATGATGCAATATTTAATGAATAAAGGATAGGTCCAAAATCCGCTCAAAATCTCAGGATCGAACGTCCTTAATGCACGTAGTGGATCTTACAAGAACAATTGACCAATCGATCATTAAATGGATAGCAATGTATAAGCAAACTACACATTTATATTACTTCGAACACGTGATTTAATTTGTTCAGAACAATCTTTGATCAATATATTTTCCTTTAGATAACCGTTCGTAAATGTAGCTCTTTTCAGTACATAAGATTGTAATAAGTTACTGTAATTTTAATAAAACATATACCAAACATCGATGCTTTTATATTTTTAGACATGTGTTGCAGAGGCCAGCCCAATTTGCCACCGAGGGAAAGAGGGTATCCCCTAATAGGAAATCTTAATTTTAAAATGGAGACACCAGTCATTCTGTAAGATTAATAAGTAGATAAAGAGAATTGCAACTTCTTATGACTATTTTTTTTTTTTAAATTTTCTTATTTTTCAAAATAAAAAATAATTATGAAAACATTTTTTCCATTTAAAGTTTTTCCATACTCACAGTTTCATTGGTGAAAAGTAGAGAAACTTTATTCATATTCTTTATTACAACTTTAGAAAAGCATTCATCCAAAATATATATATTTTTTATGTGTATAAATAAGAAATATTGAAACATTTTCTGAAAACATATGACATAACAAGAGGATGGAAATAAAATTGTTTATACAAAGATTTTCTCCCAGAAATTTATGGCAAAAACATGGCGACTTGTTCACGTTAAAAATGTTTGGCCATCCCTTGATCGTAGTGTGTGTTCTCAAACTTTACACGAAGTTCTGGTGAAGAATGATGAACATACCTTTGAACATCCAGATCATTATGTCAACAAAGAATTTTTCGAAAGATCAGGTCTGTAGATTTACAAATATGATAGAAATGAGTACTAACATAAAAAACATACATGTCTGTGTCAATAATTTAATATTGGTTGAAACATGTAATTGGATCTGAAAAAAATTGGTCTAAATTGTATTACTTTGGTTACCAACGTCAGGATGACTGACGTCAAAAGGAAAACAAATCCGTTTGACGCAATGTTTAATATATGAATTATTTGAAGGCATTTTAAAAGGAGAACTTGTCTTGTTTTCTACACTAAATGGTTGAAAGTTAAGGTAGAATGCCACACCAATTTTTTATTTTATAGATCTTTGAGTCATCCTTTATAAACAATGGTTTCAGTATTGAAAGGCCGATATTAGCTCTTAATTATTTTATATGAATTTTTTTGTATTTTTTCAAAGAAAATGAAAAAAAAATTATTTATATCCAAATAAGTTGTTTTCGCGTTAAAAGTCTGCTATAAATGAATGCATCATATGATTATCTTATAAAATATGTAAAGAAAGCCTGGTTAGACTTTTTAATTTTTTTATATAAAAAATTATTAATGAAAATAAAAGTCATTATTTGTGAATATTTTTTAAATCTATGGTTAAAAACACCATTAAACTAGTCACAACTAAGGACAACATGTTTGTCAATCATATTTTAAAAAGAAATTGAAACGAAATTGAGAAATTTTAGAGAATTAATTTTTTTAATATTTGGACCTAACCCGATTGAATTTAAACTGATCCCGATCAAAATTAACACAAAATGAATAAAATGCTAATTTATTGCCTCTTAATGTATTTACAATGAAGAAATCTATTTTATTGTCAGTTTCCATAATGTTTTAACCCTTATAACACCTAATCAGACTAGTGTTCTTAGGAAAATGTTATTTATTTCCAATAATTGTACAATTATGGTCGGGATCGGTTTAATTTTGATCGGGATTGGCCAAAATTAAAAAAAATTAATTTCTCTTAAATTTGGCTATTTCGTTTCAATTTCTTTTATAAATATGATTAATGAAATGTTCTCCCCAGTTGTGACTGGTTTTAAGAAGATTTTAACCACAAGTTTAAAAAATATTCACAAATTATGTGTTTTATTTTCATAAATAATTTTTCATAAAAAACATTAAAAAGTCTTATCAGACTTTCTTTACATATTTTATTAGGTACTTATGTGATGCATTCATTTACAGCAAAATTTTTACAAGAAAGAATCTAATTTGGATGAATTTTTTTTTTTTTCATTTTCTTTGAAAAAATACAAAAAAATTCATATAAGATAATTTAGAGCTAATGTTGGCCTTTCAATGCTGAAACCATTGTTTAAAAAGGTTGACTCAGATATCTATAAATTAAAAAGTTGGTGTGGCATTCCTCCTTAAATTATAATGAATGAATTAATGCTATTTAATTCATTCCTTAAATACAATTGGTTTAACATGCATATGTAACTATTGGTTAGAAAAAGAATCCTTAAATAATGTGAAAAATAATCTTTTGTTTTATAAAAAAAATGGTAAAATTAGGTCTAAAGGTAATTATAACAAAATTAAGTATGGTATGAACAATGAATTCAAAGCGGTAAATGTTCATTTCAGGCATACTTGGGGCGTTCGGAGAAATTTGGCGTATGCAAAGGATATTCGCCGTCGCTACGTTGAAAAGCATAGATTCAGAAAGCTCAAATCTAGAATCTCGTGTACTCACTGAAGTCGAAGAATTTATAACACAAGCAGAAAAATTTGGAGGCCAGTCTTTCAAGATTAATGATTTGGTAAATATATACCATTACAACATCGTCTCATCTCTCATATTTGGGAAGAGATTCAAACATGGAGATGCCACACTGAAACGCCTTATAGAGTTGATAAGCGAGGCAATTACTAACACTGCTCACCAAGCGCCTACCTCTGTCCTTCCATGTCTGAGATTTCTTCCGGGGGATAAGTTTAAAGTTAAACGCCACTGGCATGTCGTGGACGGAATTCTAGACATTATGCAGAAGGCCGTGGATGAACACAAGAAAATTCCAGAGGAACCGAATTCTACCGACATTATTTACAGTTTCTTTAAGGAACAAGAACGGAGAAAGCAAAACAATGAAGATCTAGTCGGCTTCACTGGTATATCATGTCAATATATAGTTTAATTCTTTCTACATTTTCTTATGAACATCAAGTACATACGCACGTATTGCTATAAAACAAAACTTCGGCACATGAAGACATATATTGTAAAATTCTACCCGCAAACTGTAAGATGACATAATTAAAATTAATACACTAGTATATCAACTTTAGATGTTTTAAATTGAACTAGGAATATAAGTAAAAAGCGAAGGTAAAGAGTGAATTTGTCGAAGAGAGGTCTGCAAAGAAACAGGTTATAGTAAAAGAATTAGTCAGCAATCTCGATTGAAGTCATTATTTCATTATTTTTAATAGATAAAGTCCACATTTTCGCGAATGTTGGAGGATAACCTCCGAGGTCGAGAAATGTAGTTTGAAAGATAAAAGCCGAGGAGTTAGCTTTCAAATAGCATTTTGAGACCGAGTAAAATGATACAGTGGGGAATGCTCAGTCCTTAATTGAACTTGATATATTACTTGATGTTTTTATGCTTAGTGTTTGTCCTCTTCATATTTTTTATTGTTAATTTGGATTATGTGTTTTTTAAATTTAATATCATTTAAGTTATTTTAAAGGAATTGTAAAAACATCCTTGATTATTTTTCTCATAATACCTTTTTTTTTTTGATTTTCTCAAACATGTATCAAAATGATCTATTAAAATTCTTAATATATGTATGACAAAAGGAATTTTTCTTACAGACCGTGATTTACTAATAATGGGATACGGTCTTTTGTTTGGTGGACTCGGCGCTCCTCATACACTCCAATGGTCAGTTTTATATCTGATGCACTATCCTGAAGTCGTCTCTCGCATGCAGAAAGAAATTGAAGAAAATATAGAAAACGATCGCTTCCCTAATATGGAAAATAAGCCACGCCTCCCTTTCTGTCAGGGAGGGAGGGAGAAAATTTATTGGTAGTGGCTTTTCGAGGTTTTTTTCCAAATACCGATAAAAGAATGCATAATTTGATGAATTCTTAAAGCTGACTTCTAATTGTTTTCAAGTCATGAGAATTGCTTTCCACTAAAGTAATATTATTTCTTGTTCAGACGATAAATTTAAAAACTTATAATTATGGACCAAAAGTTTGTATGCTCCCTTTTTCAATTAAATAAGATCATTCATTAAAATCTGTAAATTCAGACGGGAAAGGAGTAAAGAATATTGAATACCTTCAAAATATTGGCTCATGGGTCACATGGTCAACTGAACATGGTATACTTAGTTCAACAAGTACATGTACTGTGTAAATTTTAGAATAACGTCGGCCTTTTCCCTTTAATATCCTGTTATGAAGGATTGTGCATTTTAAGAAGCAAGCATCGTAGTTTATGAGACGCATATCAAATTTAATCAATAATGTTTGAATCCTTTAAGTACCGCGGTATACTGTATAGAGTATTGCTGTATAGAGTACTTGAGCCTCAATCATCGAGATCGAGAGTCATGGGGTTGTAGTACATGTATACCTTCATGAATAGAATCATCGTAGTACCAAAGAAAGACAACGACCAACATTCAATCCCAAAAGGGCATCCAAACAATACCAAACCAGGAGCAGAGCAAACCGGGCCAACATGCAATGGAGGAAAGAGCACCATAAGTTGCCATGAATGGGAAAACGGAAAAAATCTCTCGACAACCCAGTGTGAAAATAATAACCCAACAATTAGTATGCAAAATTAAGTCAGCATTTGAATTAATGATAGATTAAATTTGCTGACAGGATCATTGAATCGACCATAGAACTTAAGAAATGGTGACTTTTTACCAGACTGTTGATTAATTTTATTTCATCAACTTATCTACAATAAGTGAACTTGTTATAGAAATTGGTTTTCATTTTCGTACAAAATGCTCTGGTGTAGTTGAAATTGGTCCAGTGATCCTGGAGAAGAAAATGATGGCTCTGTAAAAGGACGCCGACAACAGAAATAAATTTTGATCAGAAAAGTCGACTCGAGCCTTCGGCTCTGATGAGTTAAAAAATATTCATATCCGTCTTTGTGTACGAAATGAAAATGGCAGGGTGGTAAGGGTACAACAACTCGTTTAATATCCCAAAGATTTTCAATAGCATTTTGATAATTTAAGTTTTCAAGTTTATTAAAAAAAATGCATAGGTAAGTAAAACTTATTGCTTTTTTATTTTTATCTAACTTTCATTCAATGTCATTTGCACAATTGTCATGTTTCGAGTCCTAAAAGTTGTCATAAGTCCTGAAGGCCTTCCAGCATATTTTCAATATCTCTGAATGAACTTTCAACTTCTTTTGATAATTTATTTTTGGGCTCTGTAATATAAAAAAAAAACATGTCCACTGTTGAAATTTTCTAAGACATATGCGCATATTTTAACATCCATTATTTAATATATAACACTTACTTGCATTGCTTATTGTCTCGGAATTTTTCTAATGTACAATGCAGTTTATTTTTCTAATGTAGTAAACAGTGTTGAAACACATATCTTAATTCTTAAAAAAAATAATTCCTTATACTTCATCAATATAATAATAACAAATAATATAAAGAAAATAAAATAATTTTTTAAAAAACATTTCAAACTTACTTATTTGTATGGGGTGTGGAAAAGGTAGAACAACTTCAGGGTGTTCCACGCCTCGTACACAAACATCATATGTTCCCACTAAAATATATTAAAGAATCAAATTAAATTTGACCTTTACTAGGACTTAAAACTCATATTATAGGTATCAAAAGAGAGCCTAAACCGTACCTGAGTTAAGTGATATGTTTTTGAACACAGCAGTAGAATATGTGGGTGACGTAGTTCCATTACAACATAGCTGCACCTTTGTTTTGCCATGACATATTGGTTTGGCACCTAGAGACACAATACTTCAATTCAATAAAAAGTATGCTTATATGATGAATTTTTTTATTTAAAAAAATCTCAGATTAAGGAAATAAAATATATCTTTTAACTCTTTTATGCAGTTACATCTTTGTAAATTTTAATATTTATGAAACATTTCTAGTCAGATGTATATTTTTCTACTTTTAATGTACAAGACATCATGATCAGTATGTAATTTGTATATATAAAAAATCTTATCGGAAATATGAATATACTCGTATTGTTGCCAATTCTTACATTTTGACGGATATTACTTAAAAATGTCGTAAGAGATGCCTCAAGGATACTAGTATATGCTTCATAGATTCTTGAACAAAATTATACTTTGAATATACCGAATATGTTACATGGTGTCTCTGGTTGGATTTTTATTGTTGAATAGAATTGAACAAATCACGTCTAACTCCTTTGAAGCAATGAATAGACGATTGGGTAAAATAAAATGCTTCAGTTACATCAGTGTAGTGATTCATTTTATCTTTCCTCTGTTTTGATGGGGAATATATCACACCCAGAAAGTTCAGAATATAGTATAAAGGGAAAAAGGCATACCTCATTTACAGTAAAACTCGCTTACGTTGTACAACCACGATTGAAACTAATTTATCCAGTTATCCAATTTTTCCATTTTCATGACATATACTATTTGAACATTCCAAATTCAACTGAAAAAAAAAATTGCTTTTTTATGATTTTAATATGAAGCTTCAATTGTCAAAGTAAAAAAAAATGCTTTTTATAATTTTATTATGAAGCATATTTTCCAACAGTGTCTTGCAAAATACATCATAGATTAAAAATTTCAGAAATCCCTACCAAATTTGTCTAGAAAGGCAACATGTTTTCTATTACCTTTTTAGAGTAAAGTATGAAACAATTGATGTAAATTCGCCAAAAGAATTTCAAAAACACTTAACAGGGCGATAACATGTTATTCATACAAACAAGAGAATCTCTTTATCAACAATCAGAAAAAATTACTTGAAGTGCAACAATATCCACATCGTAATGTGTTTCCATTTGATTTCTCACCTTGAAAATAGAACTCCACCGACTCTGTGCAGGCAACATCTCCTCTGACGACGATATCTGGGAGATTCTCACCGACGTCAGCACTAACAGCAGGTGTGCGCTCCCATTTTAAAGATTTTAATACAAACTCTGTAAAAAATATTTTCCCTGATATAAAAACAATTTATTATGCATTTTATTACATAACTCGACAAATCGTCCAAATATCTTCATTTATAATGACGGAGACCTTTTTTCTTGCATTTCTTTATTTCTTGCATGACTTTCTCTAAATCTGAATCATCAGTTATCTGAAAGGAATCGATGCCTTAAATAAGACTCGAGGAATATAGACAGATAAAAAAGATAAGAATCCGATAACTGCACTATAGAGGAATATTTACAATGAAAAAATTGGCAACATTTTAAATTGATTTATTAATTAAAGAAACGTATGATTAACCAAAAAATATAAAAGATCTGAAAATAAGAAAATTTGAACTCACTAATTCACGTATTTTTGTTTCATCCATGAGTAGAAATTTCCTGTAATTATTATATCCCTAAAGAAAACCAAAAAAGTAAGAAAGAGAAGACAAAAAAAATTACAGTTTGTAAAGAAAATTATGTCTCTTGTGCTAAAATACATTATTATGTCATTTTTTAAGTAACATACCGCCTTTATTACTGTATCAGAGTATTTCTGTAAATTTAAATGCTCAAAAAATTCAATAATCCGATTGTCTGTTCCACAAAACTCCACTGCTTGAAAACAAGTACACTGGCCCCCATAGTTTGATTTGACATTAATCCTCCAGAATTGTGACTTGGATGTAAATCCAGTAAATTTTTGAGGAACTCCTAAAATAAACATGCCTATTAAAAAGGGTGAATTTTGAATCCATCAGAATGTATAAAACCAATTACATTTTCAAAAGTATACATATGTATAATGGATGTTTTTGAAACTCTTACCAGGGTCTTTTGCATTCTGACTGCCTTGTAAAGAACACGTAAAAACGTGGTTAGTTGTCCATGGTCCTCTACAAGCAGTAAAATTGGTATTACTTCTGATTTTCAATTCTTGTAAAAAAAAATCCACAACTTATAAAAAGTGATCTATTCCACAACTCAGTGTTTTCAATGAACTTACAGAAGGTTTTCTGCTGTTTGTAATTCAAATGTTTTCACCATTTGAGGACTTGACCTTTTCAGAGAAAAAAAAGTTACCTTAGAACTGTTTGTGTAACAAGAATGTCATAAAAAAGCATTTCAAGAATCGTAACTCAGAATACCTGAACTGCTTGGAATTAAAAGGGATTGAATACTCAGAAAGTCTTTTTTTTAAACTAAGAATTTTTCAAACTCAGAATTCTCGCTTTATAATTCCTAGTACTCACCATCCATATATAATAATGCCTGTTAAAGTGTAGATACTGTGAAAATCAAACACTGACCATGCTTCTGTTATCGCAGGAATAACCCAAAATGTACAGAGACTACCTACAATTGGGAAGAAAAAGAGGATAAATAAACTATTCTAATAGGCATTTTCAACCTTATAAAAAAAATAAAAATGATAAATTACTTCAACTCATATACAAGTAACTTGCCATCTAGTAGATTGGTGTTTGGGCTGTTTGCTGTGCATTCATTACAGAAATCAGGACTGTTCCTGGTCCAGGAAGGATCTGTCTCTATTGGGGGATAATCTACAAAATATTAAAGTGGGATAGTCTACAAAATATTAAGGTGAGTTAGTCTACAAAATATCAAGGAGGGATAATCTACAAAATATCAAGGTGGATAGTCTCTAAACAATTATCAAAGGAAAGTCTACAAAAAATGAACGACGGATAATCTACAAAATATTAAGGTGGGAAAGTCTACAAAAATATTAAGGTTAGATAGTCTACAAAATACATGTATTAAGGTATTCAATCCCTAATAGCAACAGATTCAATGAAACTGAATAAATAAAAGATGTGTAGGTGTTGAATACTCTGTATATTTAGACACAAATCCCATTTATTACTTTTAGCATTAAGGGCGGGATGTACGTGTCCTAATTTATGACCTTGAATTTTGGTAAGAGTTATCTTCCCCTAATTTTTAATTAATAAAAAATCAATTTTGAAAAAAACTTGAAAGGGCAAAAAATTATTTTAAATTGTCATTCTATTTTTAATGTTTCAATGCATCTTTCCATCGCAGTATTTAATGATATATTTATTATTTGAAGTTTTACTTTTATTTTTAAAGAATGCTTTTTCTTTTAGACTTCAATGCAATCTTTGTTAATTAATTAATGCTTAATTAGTGAAACTTCTGAAACTTTCTCGTGGGAAATCTTTTCCTACTAAAATTTGCTTTAATTTAATATGAGAGTGTTATGTACATAAAGGCCATTTAAGGGTAGAGAATTTGGTCTCATTAGGGATGGAAATCCTTAAGGTGGGATAGTCTACAAAATATTATAGTGGGATAGTCTACAAAATATTAAGGTGGGATAGTCTACAAAATATTAAGGTAAGAAAGTCTACAAAAAATATTAACTTGAAGGTGGGATAGTAAAATGAAAGAGGGACATTCTTAAAGCTTCAAAAAATGAACAAGGGATAATTTACAAAAAAAACCTAAGCAGAGGATTGGCTATAAAGAGTGAAAAGGGAATACTAGTAGTCCACAAACAAAGACTGAACGAGGAGTGGGTATACAGTCTGCATAAATGAACAAATGAACGTCTACAAAAGTAAGCAACAGATAGTTTACAAACAAGACCGAGGGATAGTCTACCAAAAATGAACAATGGATAGTCTACAAAACTGAAAGAGTGGATTGTCACCAAAACAGAAAAAATGGATAGTCTAAAAAACAGAAGGAAGGGAATGTCTACAAATTAAGTACAGCGTTACAACTGCAAATGGTGGCGTCTCAGTATGAGTGAGAAAATCTTAAACTGACATGAAATAAACAAACAACAAAACAGGGGGAAAATGATCCTCTCCAAAAAAGACATCTAAAGTTCTTTGCTGGATACAAATGCTGCTCAAGATGCATGAAAGAAAATATTTATTTACTCGTATTTATTTCATTGTTATATTTTCTCATTTGAAAGGCCTTACACATTTACTTCCAACTTTGGCATTTTAAATGTCTATATTTACCTTTTAAATCTACGTGGACTTTCCCGGAGGAAACTTTCATAAACTTTGGCATTTTCGTAGGACCTTTTTTCTTGTACTCTAGAATTCAACATGTTAAAGATTTATCAGTATCCAAAACACTGCCTCAGCACAATGACAATGGCGTGACATAATTTATAGGTTACATGTAATCTAATTGTTTCACTATCACATCAGATGATGGCTCGTCTAGGATTAGGATACAGAAATACAACCCTGGAAACTTACTGAAAATATGTTTTTTTTTAAATCAAAACAAATCTACGTTAGCAATCAAATCGCACAACTATTATTGTAATTGGACAAACCGTTAAACATTTTGGTGAATTCCTCTGACTTTTTAGGCGGGAGTTGTGACGATATAGAATAAGGAGTCTACAAAATCAAAAATAATACCTTTACAAAAAAGAAGACTTTAATGTATCAAATAAATCAACTCAAACTATACGTTGTAGAAGGTCTAACACACCTCTTGTTTTGCATTTTCTTTTCCTGGATCAGCTCCATACTTAAGCAGCTCCTCAACTACATTCACCCTTAAAATAAAATAATATTTTGAGAAACCTCAGTTGATTATTAAACGATATTTACAGTGTCTAGTATATATAGTAGAAAGTTTTGAGGCAATGATGACCAAATACGGAAAAAATAATTTATTAAATCATGTAGGGATGTCAACGAATAGTCGACTATTCGACTGTCAGTCGAATGGACCGACGATCGAATAAGGAAACAACATTCGAATACTAGTTTTAGATAAATGCAAGAAAATGGGGTGATAATGAAATTTTCATCTCAAAATTGAAAAAGGGTCCTTCCTCAAACTATACAGCTGTAAAGTGTACGTTTTCAGACGAATAAAAACAGTCACAGTATAAAAATAATTTTCCACATTGTACATATGGAAAATACAGTAATTACATACTGCGATTATTATTTCTCAATCACTGACTTTTTTTGTTATTGTACGTATTAAATTATGCAACGCTTTACTGGACCATAAAATTATTTAATTGACTTGTATCAACTATATTTATAAACTCTAGGAATTTCAAATGCTTAGGAACACACAATATTTGCATAGCCGTGAAGTTTTAAAGTTCAATAATTATTAAAACAACAATCTTACATATAAGACATTTTGATATATAGCTTGGGCAATCATTAATTAAAACACAGTATTTAACATTTTCATCGGAGGATTTGGAAAGTGTGTGTTTACAATTCCCCATTTCCAATTTATTTCAATTTTCCAATTTATTTGAATTAATAAGCTTTCAAAAAAATGTGCTATTATATAAATATTGCATGTAGTTGAGTGTAACATTGAAAATTTTCACCCCAAGAAAACCATTGTCAACCGAGGCGCAGCCGAAGTTGACAATGGTTTTCGAGGGGTGAAAATTTTCAATGTTAACCCACCACATGCAATATTTATTATATTATACTGAATGTTTTATACAAAGACATATTACAGTGAACCGTGCGCGCATAAATTCCGCGCAGTCGCTATTTTTTGTAATACCACCCGTCGTCAAGCAATGTTGACTGTTGCTACGCAGGAGGGCGTGGCTTCATTATTCAGCGGGTAGTAGTGTTTTTTATCAAATGTTTCTCGACGAATCAGATTCAAGTAATTTACATGAAAGTATAATATAAAAAAATAAATGCTCCGAATAGTCGACTGTCGTTCGAATAATGCTATCCAATGTTCGACTAAGGAAAGTTAATATTTTGACATCCCTAATTTAAATGTATTAAAGGATACAACAATAAACAAAATCGAACAAATTTGGAGGAAGAAAAGGCTATCTAAATGAATCTCACAGGCTTCTTCGTCTATTTTACATAACTTCTGCAATACCTTTATCAACGTCGACAATGTTGCATATAATGCATCCGGGAGTTTATTTGCCATATTTTATTGAGAACGTACCGACTTTAAGGGTTAATAGAAAAGGATTTCAATAGCAATGCTGCAAAATGGATCATTACAATTACGAGGGGTTATCAAAAAGTTCGTGGACTGAGGCGATAAAATTAATACTACGTAGTCTGTGCTTCCAAAATTTATAAGGAACATAAAACAACAAAAAATAAAGAAATGTTGAAATTTTTAGCTTCATACGTTCATTATTTGCCAAATTATAATAAAATAAAAACGACATTATATGATCACCCGGCGCTGTCGTCGTTTAATTTTATGACGTCCCAAAGCATCGTATTTTTCAAAGTCCGATTCTTCTACCTCATACACTTATCGTGATGAAGTTTCCTGGAGTTGAGTAAGGACTTAAACCCTTCTTGTTTGTATGCCTTTACAATGTCATGAAAGGCGGCTTTCAATGCATATAATATTGCGTATGGATTTATACATTGGGAGAGATCCTTGCTTGATTGTGTCAATACAGTTTGCTTTTTGTGTTCAATATCAACCACAAATAACCAACGTCATTTTTGACGTGAATGATTTTTCGTACCATGAGTACAAATCGACATAAACTGTTCATTCCTTTTCTCTCGGAATCTATTTTGGCATTAAAAACAAGTCCTCTGGATGCATTTTATTTCCCTGTAGCCAGATTTAACATTTTGTAGGTGTATAACAGTTTTTTCAGGCACAAAACTTTATGAAATGTTGGAAAAAGAACTCCCTTCCCCCTTTTGACGTCATCTGAAAGCCCTTTATTTTTGGACATTCCAGACAAAATGTACGATAACATTTTATAGAACTTACCGAATGATGTAAAAATTACAAATTTTACAGGGTAATACCGTCCCATCACAAACCAGAATTAATGGGATTTTTTGATGTCAGATGTTCATAACAAAGGAGTTTTCCTCGGTAATACCGAGGGCGAAAAAAAAGTCATTTTCGAGGTTGCGCCGCCTAAACAAATCATTGCTTTCAAAAACACTATTAATTTTTTTAAAAAAATAAGATCTATGATTTGTGGTTTTTTCTATAGATAGAAAAGATGATGCTAACTAGATGTTTTAAAATTCATTACTATGCCTAAAGCGGTTTTAATTTTATTGCGCCAGTCCACGAACTTTTTGATAACCCCTCGTAATTAAAAAGCAATTTAAAAAATCCATGTCAAGTAAATTCACTGTGACTTATGCTCATTTTTATATTAAGGTCATACGCAATGTAGTTTGAACTTTATTGGGTTCTTCCCTGGAGTTGAAGAGTTCCACTAAATGAAGGACCCGTGTGCAATACTTTTAATGTCTATATATGGATTTGTACAGGTCTTCTAAAATAAGTTTTGATGAAAAAAAAATCTGGAATTTATGTTTTGTAATATTTGTACATTTTTCTTTGAATAATGCAAAAATTTTCACAATTTGATATCTTTTCAAAACCCCTGGTAACGCATGCTGATTTTTTGTCTAAGAACATGTAATGATATTGTACGTTTAAATTTAGAATATCTTGAAAAATTATCAGTAGGTGAGGTACGTTGCGTACATGTATGTCCTTAAACATACTCAATAAGAGAAATTTACACACGATATGAAGATACTCTGAATGATCAGATATCTGAAATAAATTAAAATTTTTGTAGAGATATTTCTACCCGTAGTTAGTATCTGACTTCCTCATGTCAAATTTGATCTGAGGTTTAAATCTTGCAGTTTCATCACATCTATTATCTTGGTACAAAGGAATTTTATAATAATATGCACTGGATTGCCAAATACAATTTTCTGTAACCGAATGACGTTAAGGACCATTTAACTATCAAAAGTATATTTAACATACTGTACTATCTAAAGTATGCATAATCAACAAACCTTAAAAACCTCGTGGCTTCATGGAGAGCACACGTTTTGCGATCCGGGTTGATGCAGTTGGGGTTAACCCCGAAATCTAGAAGTAGCTGTACGATATCCGTGTGACCTCTGATGGCTGCCTCAACAATGGCGGACGTGTTTCCGGTCAAACTTGAATCACTATCCATCAGACAAGATACGAGGTCTATAATATATTAAGACGAATATATTTGAATTTTTAGTTTTGCAGAATATGTATGAATGACATGGCATAAGATGGGAAATGACGTCAGACCTTTTCTATTGTACATTGCAGCAACATCCAATGGGAGTTCTCCCTTTTTGTTCACTAACGTGGTATCAGCATCTGCCTTGAATATGAAAAAATAATTTGATAACAAATTAAAACGAATAAAACAAAAACTTGTATAATTTATACATATTTCGAGGATTTTAAACAAACTGATGTTTTCCTTGTTTGCTTTATTTTAAATCATGTCACAACAACACTTTAACTGTAACAATATCAATGTTTGAAATTTAAGGACAGATGATACGAACAAATTCTGTCAAAAAATTTTAAAATAACAACTTGAGTCATGTTTTCATGAGTAGAATGAACAAGTTTGACGGCGTAGTTTTCAATTTTTCATTCATAGTTTCACAATAATGAGATTTGAAGTGAAAAACATTATTTTGTAAAGGTTAATAAGGATGGTTGTTGAAATGAACAATTTTGAATATCATAAAAGGTTTACAATTTCTTTGTATTTTAGAAGTTTATCATTATCATCATTTGCAACAAAAATAGGCTCAGAAATACATAGTTACCAATCCAGGCATCCATTTTTTGTTAATAATTAAATAATCCCCATTATTTGAAAACAAAAATTACTATGTGTGCAAAGCTTATATTCACTCCAAGATAGCATACCAGACTTTTAAATGTAATATTTAAAAATATAACGATGTGTTCAGGTAATTTAGATGACGGTATAGGGTTGTGTCGCGCTACATCTTAATCTTTACAAAAGAAAGATTTGCTTTAGACAGAGTGTCATCATTACAGTGCATCTTGAAACTGCGGGAATGATTGGAGTAATAAAAACATGCAAAAGTATAGTGTATACAATTGCTTAATCGTGCAGAATGAGAAGGGTCGGTCATTCCCGGTATGCACGTACCCGTAATAAGGTGTGCACGAGTTGCACGCTGTCGTCTGCTCGACTCTGACAGACCACGTGAAGTGGCGTGTTTCCATCACTGTTCTGTATATTAACCTACAATGAAATACAAATTTTAGATACTTAATTGATGCTCGTTTTACGTAAAGTCATATCTTACAAACAATCTCAAAAATGGGAGAAGAACTATCAATAGAGTTAGTAGCTACATGTATGCTGTCTACAAGATTAATCAACACAACATGTTTCCGTTGAAATCTGAATTGTACTAAAGCTATACCTTTGCACAGTTTCGAAGCAATATATACACAATATCTAGTCTCCCCATGAACGCAGCCAAATGTAATGGTGTGTTCCTGTTGAAAAACAAAGCTTCATTTTAACATCAACAAAACAATGAAATATGGTTTTATGTCTAATTAACACACATAAGATTTAATATATATAATTCTGGCATGTATACTTTACCCTTTTTGATCGGCAAGATTGACGCTCGCTGAGTAAAATAATAATGTTTCCATGATTTCTTTATTGCCTAGAAATAGAAAATGAACATTTTACATATTGACTATACCGTCAAAATGTTAAAGCATGTATGCTTTGAAGAATGACGACAAAATTAAAAACGATAGAAACAATAGGTCTTTCGACCACAGCCTTCCCCAAAGTACCCAAGCCTGGCTGTTATTTTTCTTGATATTTTCCTTTTTTTTAATTCAAAAAAGGTGTGGTCTCACCCATTCTCCAAGGGGGGTCATTACATAACTTCAATTCACAAATCAATATTACTAACATGAATTTTATGTTCTGAAGAGTGATTTTCATTTCTTTTCAAGTGTACACACACTTAATGAAACTTTTGGTCTCCCTTTCCATATCTTACCTAATTGCAAAGACCATTATTTTGACATGGAGACGTGAATCCGCATAAATAGGAAACGTTTGCATCTGAATTTAGGTTGGTATTCTCTCACTGTACTTAAAGCCATTTAAAAAATAATACCCCACGCATCCCCATTCCCCATTGTAAATGTTTAACCCACCCTGCCTGTGCTAAACACAATTTCAACATAAAACGAATATACACTGGGATGTTTGCACGTTAAAATTAGCATCATAGCAGTGCTTTATTTATATCAATTCCTTTTTAATTTCCTCCGAAAATCGAAAATGTTTTTCTCTATACATTCCACGACGACTGTAGAATTTGTCTGTTTGTTGTCCTAGATCCCTTTTTTCATGGTTTTAACAAAACTGTCTAATTATAATTAAGACAACGGGTGTCAGATCAGAAATACTCACTAGAACCTATGGATTAGAACTAGTCAGTACAATGCTTAGTAAAACATATATCAAACATTTTTTAAACATTTATTTCTTGAAAGATAATAATAAAAATATACACATAAAATATACTGTATAAAATAATATAGATTATTGAACATTACCATTGAGGACGGAGATTATAAGGGGGGTGTATCCCGTGCCATTTTCTTTACAGTTGATATCCACGTGCACCACTTGCATCCGGATGCGCCCTCCTAGAGCGCCGGAAGTGGGCACATCTACCTTCTTGATCTGGAATTCCTTCTCCGGAAGTAAGAGTTTCTTTAAGTTAAAAAAAAATACATTTTAAGAAAAGTCTGAAGGGGGGAAAACGTGACTAAATTACTCTAAGAGGGATTTTTTTTTGCATAAAACCTATAAAGAAATCGAGGATATTAATTTAGCCGCATGGGTTTCTACAATAAGCAGTTATCAGTTTATACTGTTCGTGTAAATTACAGTTATGCACACAATACACATGCTTAATATTTCGATCAATTCAATTTAAAGAAAAATATTAACTTTTTTCCCCAGTGCAACATACACTTAAAATTTAGAGTATCTTAGCCACAAACTACATTTAGTGATAAACAAAGAGGCGGAGTCCTCATTTGATAATTAAAGTATCATTGACGCTCACAGTTTTAAATTAGATACTTCAGTTTAATGATAAACATATGTAAGTGCTGATAAAAGAGTATACAGTTATGCTGACATTATTTTACACAGTTTAAATCTCTATGTTTATAATACACGGAGAATCACTTTTGAGAATAATTTATTTTTAATCCCAATATTTTGTAAGATCAAAATTATACCACCAGTGTTTGGTAAAGATTTGTTTATAAGATATATGGAGTTTAAAGAAAAAACTGTTTTAAAAATACTTGATACCTTACATGTGTAAAAAAAAAAGTGGTTTATAAAACATGTTAAGAATTTTATATAGAGAAAGTAGAATCAATTTACATCCATTGTACATTGTCGTATCTGAAAACCATCAAAGCGTAAAAGATGAATGAAAATGTAAACGCTGTATGATATACACATACAAGCTCAAAAAGTTGGTCAGTAGAGACACTTTTTTAAATATTGTAAATTACAATAAATGGACACAAAGGAATTAATGAGTATTTTTTTTCCTCCTAGCTTATACCTCGTGTTTTATCAACAGAGCTCGCAATTAAGTCACTTCCGGGTCCCCATGACTTACCTGTAATTTTTTCTCGTCGTTGTTGTGAACTGTCTTTAGAAGTTCTTCTTCCTTCCCCATCCTCCTCACCGGAAAGGAGATGCCGACTTTTTGTTTACGTCCTGTATATTTCCTCCTTCCCGAGAAATGAAGTATCCAGGAAGTAAGGTGTAAATTTCAGGAGTGTGTCACAATACCGCGGTGGATTCTATTTCGAGACCAGGAGATGTCATCTTTTGTTTACCTGTACGTCGTGACTCGATTGATAAATAACGACACGAGAAAACGTATACATAAAACTCAAGTAGACACTGGTTTTCGTAATGCTATTCAAAAAATGTACAAGTACTGAACGTTTAGTTTATAAACACCGGATTTGGATAATTGCATTCACTTAACCTTGTAAAGCCTTTTAAGTTTTGTTTATTCTTCCTTTTTAGGAGCGGATCACATTTGACGAATCAAACATGTGATGCACTTCCCGTGTGCATTTTTAAGCAATCTGTCTCCGATATGCTGTGGAATGCTTGATGTTAATTGTTATATCTAATATGCCGAAGCAAAACAAACAAATAATGAGGTGGCATTGCCTATGAAAGTCGAGCGCTTATTTGGGCTCTAAACTTCACAGTGCATTCAAGAATAAAACTGAAGTGCTCTAGAGTAGAGGCACTTGTCAAAATTGGACAAGGACATCAGAGCAATTCGTGTCTGTAAAGCACAGATAATTTGTACTCCATATTTAGACGGAAAACTCCCGATGATACTCTATTTATGATTAATTTACAGATATGTAATTGTCTATGTATCGTCTTCCTTATTCTACAATATTAAACACAAATCGTAAAGTGCATTAACAACTCAATACATGTATATGTTAGCCTATTTAGGTGCCGTTGACTGTTGGAATGGTCACACTGATGCTTAAAAAATTATCCTTAAATGAAATCCATAAATGAAAAAAAAAGCATTAAAAATATTCGAGTTCCATGAGAATACATTGAAATTTTGATCCAATGAAACATCTACAAAATCAAATGTCCACGTCTAAAATTACTAGAATTTGTTTTACTCTAAACAATCTATTCCGAATAATCAGATTTCTCAATCATGGTGAAGATCTGATGAAAGTTTAAAGGCGTACCTCTGACAGTTTGAAAAAGTCTACATAACTTCCACGCAAAATGAAGAATTATAATTTTCACGAATACACTAGATCCATCTATGCTTTTTTGTGTGAAGGCGTGTGTGTAGGGGGGTGGGTGATTGTGGATAACATAGGACGCAAATACGTCCAGAGAACTTATTACAAAATCTTGTAAGCGGACAACTGAAATACATTCCCGCGAACCTGTGAAGTTTTGATTGACCACGAACGTTTATATATAATTACCCACATTAGAGTTACTTTGTAATTAATTATTTTAAATATTTCAATGTGAATCTCACAGTAATCTCACAGTAATTGTAATGAAATATGAAAAATCTTTGTTCGATACATTAATCGACTCTGTCAGCAAATACAATCTATCATTAAGTCAAATGCTGACCGCCTTGTTATATACTTATGCTAAACTATGATTTACAGACTCAGTTGTCTACTAATTTTCACGTTTCTTCTTCAATAATGACAAGGAATACAATATTAATGCAGATGATGTTTACTCATCCATGGTACCAAGCTACGAGCCATAAAACTTAGACGTACTGCTCATTTATGATCCTAGTCTGAATTTTACATATTAAAAAGGAAAATATAGTGGAAAAGTGAGAGATCAAAATGAACACGTCTAAGTTTTATGGTCCCGAATCCTGATCCTACATGTTCTAGTACCTGTGATGTCTTAGAGGTCTGTGTTTGCTCTGTTTTGTTATAATTGTTGGAATGGACAATTGAGCCTGAATAATGTTCGTTTTCTTCATATTTCATTCCACCAAGATTTTTCCGATTCTCATCTCAATATCAATACGACTCCAATCTAAATTATGAAGACTTACAAGAGTACATTGTTCAGAATTCAAAAAAGTGTATTTCGTACCATTGGAATTATGAATAAATTCAGCGAATCAAAAATCCCGTGAAAGATGTATCACCACCAATGGTAGCCTGACCAGTTATACCATAAACTCTCAACCATACGGTATCACCTGCAGACAGAACAGCAGTAGCCATGGAACTAGACACAACCCAGTGATCTCCTCCGTGCCCACTGCAGTAAGTTCTTCCTAGCTGAGTGGAGTCCTTAACAATCTCGACAGATAAATAGGATTGGTTGTCGCAGTTAATAGAATAGAAAAAGACATAAAGCCCTGGTATCCTGGCTGCAAATACACCGTTTGTATGCAGACTTCCTCCGATGTTTTGTCTTATATCACTGAGAGCAATCGTCTGTCCAACGGTCATTTTCTCATCACTTCCACCGTGAAATGCAGTAAATGCTACACGATCTGAAAGGTATGATTTTTGCAAAATTTAGCAGGTTTTGTTTCGGAACCAACTACGTCCCGTTTTTAGCATACCTACTTTTGTTTACATATGAAGCAGAATTTATTCAAAATCTTGTACAAGAGATGAAGAAAACAATTGTGGCCTTCAACTCGACATTTAGGTTTCGATGAAGTATTATCAACTAATAATAGTTACATGTATTGGCATTCATTATATGTCGACAAAGAAATTGAGATTTAAGACAAATATATTATATATCTGTCTGACCTATTTGTTCTATATTTGATAATTAATTTACTAGAAAATGCCGTAAATGGTAGTCTAACAAAAAACCTTGTCAATTTCCCTTACTTATGTAGAAATGCAGTAATATTGTACAGTATTATAGTAGTATCACCTTCAAATGGGGTTCATACCTCCCAACTGATTTGATTTGCGATAGTATGCTCTACGTATGAACAATTTCTAAAACGAAGTAAGTTATTCACAAAACAGTTAATTAAACAGGAATATCAATTATACCATTAGAAATCATAATTTGGTTCCATGGTCGATGCAATGACCTTGTCAGCGAATACAGTCTATTATTATGTCAATTATATACTGATGTACGTTTTTCATACTAACTGTTAGGCCATCATCTACACACTGATCGAATAGTAGATGTATTTTCCATTACCATTATTTCCCGTCATCAAGACAAGGAGCACCGTGGGTGTAAGCGATCAGCAAGGGATGCTCACTCCTCAACAGAACCAGATCCCACCTCTAATGTTCTAGAGGTCCATGTGTGCTCTGCCCTTGATTTGTATTGTTTGAATTGGCTATTGAGCTTAAATATATTGTACATGGTCCTACTCAGGTAGCTGAATTATTGTGAGGGTGGGACATAATAACCTTCTACAGATCTAGAGTCCTTGAAATGTCATCTAATTAACTGGTGTAACCAGCCAATGACTTTCTAGTTGTCTAAATTGTTCAGTTCTAGATAGTTATGCTTTCTCGTTCCCACTTTAAATATCAATATATAACAAATTTTTGTATTATGATAATCTTTCAATTAAAACTGACTGGTTTTATCATAGAGTCGTACCTTCTGGAAGACTCCCAGTCAATAGTCGAATTGCTCTGCTTCTCAAATGTTCTGAAAAATTAAGAGATAAAAAAAAACATAAAGTAAAACGAAATAGATTTTTTTCAATTTCTGTACCAATTAATTATCGAAGGGTTCGACTCATAGTAGAGAATAAGTTCAATCAAACATCCATCAGTATAATTTCTGTGCCAATATTTGTGTAGATAAGGATAAAATTTATATTTTTAAATTTTGCATTTACTTTTATCACAGTAAATGAAAAACTGACAACATAATAGATTTTAAGGCTGATTTATCATTCAAATGCTCTAAAAAATTGTATGAAAACATACCGTGCAGTTCCTCATGCTGGGCATCCGTGGATAATTTTGCGGAGCTTTGAGATGAGTCACCCTCCTGCTTTTGAGAGTCCTTGGTGCTTACTTCATGTTGGCTCAACTCGACTCTAAAATGTTCATTTAGCTGTTGAAAAATTGATAAAATTTTCTATATCAATGTAAAGCACACTACGTCATAAGATCATTTTTTGTGTTTTGAGGAGGGTTATATTTTGAAATTTAATTTCATGGATGACTGTCACTTTAAATTCTCTTCAGAGCGCGAAAACAACGAAAATTAATTTGATAACTAATGATATCTGTAAATAATATACAATTATATCTCAGTTTCCCGATCATGACAAAGATCACACAGAGGATGTGACCAGTCGGCAGGGGATGCTCACTCTCCCATGGCACCTGATCCCACCGCTGATGTTTTGAAGGTCAGTCTTTGCTCTGTTCCTGTTTGTATTGCTTAATGGGCTTGAGAACTTTTCCTTATCACGATATTTAATTTCTTAATATTTACCCTTACGCATTAGAATTTTTTTTTATAAATAATATCCTTTCATTTTACCTCGAGATGTTGTTTGGATGGGATACGTGTTGTTGTTTCTGTTCTTGTAATGTATTTTTCAGCAACTGAAGCTCATGACCTTGCTCTACATACGCATTTTCAAGGAAATCGTTTTTCTTCTGAAGTTCTTGAACACTTGCTTGCAATGATCGCAGTAAAGTAGACTGCTCAGCAACCACGGCTCTTAGTGCTTCAATATCAGAGTGAATTTCAGATGAGTGAACGGAATTTATAATCCCAGGTGCAAAGAAAATAAAAAGCAGGCACCAAGTTACCCTGAACATATCTTGAGGTAACTACTTTCTCTACTCAGATTTGTTACACAGACGTCTTTGGTTAACGGAACGTTGACCTGTCGTCCTGTTAGTACAGTCAAGGTAATCCTTATCACGATCTATAAGCTTAGAGTCAAAGTTAATCAATACAAGACAAAGGATTAAACAGTATATCATGATAAAGAAAAAACGTTTATTTAATCACTATATCTCTGAAAATGTATTTTAATCTCTTTTTAATTTATAAAGATACTGAATTACATTTATAAACTAGAGATACTGTAAGCAATGAGATTACTAAATGATACCCCAGCCTTCCATATGAACATAATGGTAGTGTCCATGTTTTGCTATGGGAAACCAAATATATATAAAAAGTAAAACAGGAGGTACGCAATATGTAATAAAGATTCTGTGAAAGTATCATCAAATTTCATGCAGTGGTATGAGAGGAGTTGCAGATAAGAGATGGGTACCCAAAGCGTAACAGAGGGATGAACGAACGTACAGACGGACGAACATCTTGATTATTGTATGCCCTCCCGCTTTTCAAGCGGGGGTTTAATGATGTAAAACATAATTATGAAGTCAGATATATTATAAAATTAAATTTAATGAGGTACGGACAATAAAAGTGGAATTAATGTAATACATGTATTTATAAATCATAAGAGCAACTTTCCCGTAAAAATATCAAATTGTCCTTGCCAACTTCCGCTGAGAATTACTATCTTTTCTACCTTTTTCTGGTAATTGTTGCCATGGAAATTGATAGAACGACATTTTATGATGTATAAAATACTGAAGACAAAAACTTTAAAAACGAGAATAATAGTGCAAAGGGAAACGATAACGAACAGTAATATAGCTTCAAATGTCTGAAGACATAGAAATCTGTAAATTCCTAGGAGATGGGATACGGTGCTTAGGATGAGTAAGCATCCCATGTCGACCGGACACATCTGTTCTGAACCTTGTATTTCAGATACACATTTTTGAGATGGTAAGAGAAAAAGGGGCAGGCCAAAAACAACATATAAGAGATAGAGATGATTTGGAAGGAAATAGAGAAAAAAAGCAAAAGATAGGACTGGGTGGGGGGGAGGGGGGGGGACTGTGTGGTTGCCTTATGTGCTACCTGACATGATGGGACCTAAGTCTCGTAAGTGAGTTTCTTTTCTTAGGGACATATCAGAGTTATATTCGTATTTTTAAAAAAAGACTAGAATCATGATGCAATATGCTTTATCAGCTGCCGATCAGGGAAAACATTTTGTTATAAATCTCTCTGAGGCATTCTTTATCTATTAAACTGTTAAAGTTTCTATCAAATTGAATGTACAAATAATGTTAACGACAATTGATACTACATGTAAGTAATCAGGTTTCATTATTAATAACTTTAGAGATTACATGTATCTGCCTATCTTGGGAAATCTAATTATATAGTTTAACGAACATACCATATTAAACTTTTTGGAACTGCTCTGAAATGTGTTATTAAAGATTGCGTTATACTACATGTAGTAATTTAGTTTTCTTTACCTATGTATTACAGCGTCCACAAAATATGTGCCGCTAATCAACTTTTCTATTTAGCAATAAATTATAATTACTTTAATTAACAGTTCATTTATGTCTTTCACATGTTCGTCGTTCTTTACTCATACGTTTTTAAAAGCATTTGACAATTTTTGACACATATTAATTATAACTTGAAATATTCAGATATGAGACATGTAATTAAAACACAACTGTTATTTATTGCAATCAATCTGCAAATTACACATGTACATCCTTTTTTTTTTCAGAGAAAAAAATAAACTGACAACATTGCATATTTAAATTCGTCTAATTATTTGATGAAGGAAACAAATCATGCGTTTGACTTAAGTCAATATTACATACTAATGAAGTTGGATCCCTAAAAGTAATTTTTTAGGTAATTATTTCCTAATTTTACTTTCTAATATATTCCACTCGAGTACGGTAGTTGATCAAATCAACTACATGGTAAAATAATAGATTTTATTTGCATCCACGTCCAAAGGGAAATTAATCTGAGTTAGTCTAACACTTGCCTGCAAACGATGTTATTGATCGCACCATACTCACTGTCTATCATTTTACATTGAAAAGGAAAGTAGAATTATTCGGATATTCTCTGGATTTATGCTGAGGAGATTGATAAACTATCGGTTGAAATTCATTATTTTTCAGTTAGCTTGGTTATCTGTCTCTGGTTATGCTTGCCTTGACGTGAAACAGCCAGGGAACAATGATTCAATATAAAGGTGTGACTTAAATCGAGATACTATCATCAACGAATTAAATGGTAAACTTTTTACCAAAAAATCTCCAAAAGAGGTATGTACTTTCTTGTTTACAACCATCTAAATCAATGCTGAGTTATATTTTTTATGTGTCAACGCTATTGATTAAATATGCATATATCTAAGTGTAAACCACAAATACGTTTTGTATCAGCAGCTATAATATTGATTATTTATCCCAAAAAAATGAAGCAGAAATTTTTCCATTTGAAATTAAACTTGGGATGCAGTTTTAAAATAATGGTGCTTCTAGCTATAGAAGGATATATTTTATGTGGTGTGTATTTCCCAGATAGCAGGATGTTATTGGACCTTTGTTGGGCCAACAACGCTCCTTATGTTGGGCCACTGTTTGAATTCAACATTGGGCCATCGGTAATTTGCTCATCGGCCCTTAATCAAACCAACTTGTTGGCTTATTGTTGGACCAATGTAACAGTTAAAATTGGGCCACTGTTGGGCCATTGTATTATTTCAGTATTGGGCAAACGTCATTTTTGAACAATTGGGCCATTGTAAGCAACTAATGTTGGGCCAACGGTAATTTGCTCATCGGCCCTTAATCAAACCAACTTATTGGCTTATTGTTGGGCCAATGTAACAGTTAATATTGGGCCACTGTTGGGCCATTGTATTTTTTCAATGTTGGGCAAACGTCATTTTTGTACAGTTGGGCCATTGTAAGCAATTAATGTTGGGCCATCGGTATTTTGCTCATCGGCCCTTAATCAAACCAACTTGTTGGCTTATTGTTGGACCAACGAACGGATATCATTGAGCCATTGTTGGGCCACTTATTCTTTCAATATCAGGAAAACATCATTTTTGGGCCAACGTTGGTTTGTATCTTATTGGCTCTCCATCATGACAACTCATTTGCTCTTCACTGGTTGGCCATTTGTCCTCAAAATTGACAAACAAATATATACAATAAGGTTATACTAGTTTTGTAATACAGTTAAATGGTAAAAGCCTTTAATACTATCTATATATGCTATATATGCTAGATTAATAGTTTAATACATATTCTCAATATTCTCATAGAATTGCCATCAACAAGTATTGCATTGTAAGTAGCTCTACATTAATTAAAAAAAACTGTGAAAAAAGAAATCAAAATATAAAATTCAATTATAACATACTATAATTTTATTGCTCAGTGCATGAAGAAAACATTAATAAAGAATTAAAAGTGGATGCTCACTTCAAGCTATACATGTAGGGTTACATGACTGTATACTCCCTCTCTGATGTAAATTATGCACAAGTTCAGTAAATTACAGGTATCAATAAGCACGTCTAACAAATAAACAAAGCCCTCCTAGCTGTTCTTAAAATAATACTAGAATGAATCCCGTCATTTTGTTTACTTACAGAAAAAATTTTTCTGGCATCTGCATCGAGTTTATAACCAACAAACAGACATAAAAAAAAGTAGAACTACAGGAATGTCATACTATATCACAGAAAAAAGTTAGGCACTGCCACTTTCCATCTGATCCCTCTCCTAAGTCTCCATTTCCTCTTCCCGAGTCTCCTCCTCCCCTTTCTTTTCTTCTCTGTCCGTTTCTTCCTCCCTCATCCCTGTCCTTGGCATACCTTAGCCATTCTTTGATTGTGTTCTCCATGTCTTTTTAGAATCTCCAGTAGCACTAGAATTGTAATATTTGGTACTTAATATATTTGTTACTTTTCTCAGTAAAGAGTAAACATACGATTAAATTTACAAGTATATCACTATATGTTTAAGCTGTCAATTAAGGAATAACCGTCTTTTTTGTTTCATGGTGTGATTAAGTGATTAGCTTGCGTGATGAAGGCATTTATGCATAATATTTATACGCTTGATATCATCATCAAAACAATTTTGATTCAATGTTGCCCCATATAAAATACATGTATTGAAAATTTGTCGTTACACTGAACAAATTTTAAATGAAAGAACCCAATTAATTTTTAGTACTGAATAAATTTTGTTTTAACTTCAGCAAATTCAACATTTTCAAAATGTTTGATCATGTTCTCGACGTTAAGTGTATATAAGTAAATTAAGTGGTAGACTTCGGAAATGTATTCTACTAGACACAAATTTCAATTTAAATAACGAGCAAATTATTAATTGTTTTAACTGTATCAAAACACATTTTTATACTTTCATTTATTTTTCTTGTATATAAACAAAAAATTTAATCACTGATTATTTATTTTGTTTCGATAAATTATGAGAATTTTAAATTTTTTTTTAGCTAGCTTGATTTTTCAAGTAGGATTGGTTGTAGATTTATTTCTGATTGTAGAGACGATCAGATTTGTTAATATACAGATTTGTAACAATCAAATGTTTATACACATTGGCCCAACGTTGGTCCAATATATCGGACCAACATATGACCAAGGAGCAAAATGACACTGGGCCAACGGCATTTGCCAACATCGGCCCAATGTTCTTGTTGACGTTTCGCCAACAATGTCGCATTTATTTGGCCAATGTTGGCGCGACGTTGGGCCAATATCTGTAGAAATAACACTCTACATTGGGCCAACGTTGGCCCAACATATCGGGCCAACATTGGGTCGATGAGCAAACTTAAATTGGGTCAATGCCATTTGCCAAAATTGGCCCGATGTAACCGATTACATTGGCCCAACGTTGGCCCAATGTAAGCATGCTATCTGTACAGTGTTGACCCAACAGCACCTGGCCTCTGCATTCCCCGTGTCTGATTTACACAGATTTGTACATGATATCGTTTAAAAACTAAACGTTAATTCAGCTGTGCCGGGCAAACATATTATTAATACTTACAAAGTGAGTGCAGATATGCAAGGTATCAGTCTCATTACGCTCGTGTCAGATTAAAAATGGCGCGGATATTACAAGAAGCCCGGTTGTTGTCTACCCATGATGCTCAGTCCGATTCATGGTATATTGGGCCAACGTAGGGCCGATGCCAATCTCCAAACAAATATTTTCTCTCATGATAATAGTTTTATGATATAATGCCAACAGTAAGCCCAAAATTAGCGCACTATTATACATGACCAGCTATCAATATTCCATGTTGGGCCATTGTTGGCCCAATCAAGGTAACCCAACATAGATAATAGAACCATAATGTAAGATTTGGCCAACGGTGTTCTGCTATCTGGGTTATTACAAATAAATAAGCATATACACAATTCAAAAAATAGAATAAAACACTCTTTGGTGCTTGATCTCTTAAGTGCAAAGTTAAAATGTTGAAAATATCATATCTAAACAAAAGCAGTCATCCACTGATAAGCATGGACATAGAAAGTCCTCTCAATTATTTCAGAATGTACCAACGTTGTCCTAACGTAAAGCTCAGCAGCTAATTATAAAATTGACTCCATCAATTAGTTGGCAGTATAATAATTGGGCCAACGTTGGCCCAATATAAATATCCCATCTTTGAAGACCTAAACAAAATAACACTTGTGTGTATTACAAACATTGGGCCAACGTTGGGCCAACATACTACTGCCAACTTGATAGGACACGTTCTTTAAGGGTGTATTACAAACAATGGGCCAACGTTGGGCCAACATACTACTACCAACTTGATAAGGCACTTTCTTTAAGGATGTATTACAAACATTGTGCCAACGTTGGGCCAACATACTACTACCAACTTGATAAGACTCGTTCTGTAAGGGTGAATTAGAAACAATGGGCCAACGTTGGGCCAACATAATACTACCAACTTGATAAGGCACTTTCTTTAAGGATGTATTACAAACATTGTGCCAACGTTGGGCCAACATACTACTACAAACTTGATAAGGCACTTTCTTTAAGGGTGTATTACAAACAATGGGCCAACGTTGGGCCAACATACTACTACCAACTTGTAAATACACTTTCTTTAAGGGTGTATTATAAACATTGGTCCAACGTTGGGCCAACGCCATGATCCTTCCTTCTTTGGAAACTAAAGTGAATGGAAGTTGCTTACGTTGGACCAACAATGGGCCAGCATAGGAATTCCGTCATGGTCGAGAAGGTTGACTTGGTAACATTGGTCTAACGTTGGCCCAACGTTGTTCCCCCAACGCCAACCATACAACCTTTAACAAATGTTGGCCCAACATAGTCATGCTATCTGGGTTAATAACTGTTAGATGTTTAATTTAATTGTACATTGCAGATGTTTTATTCCCATGGATTAGTGGTAAAACTCTGCGACCTTTGTCCTGAACCCTTGAGTCTGTTCTGTACAATTTGTAACAAAGGACTCTGTACTTCCTGTTTATCTGGGCACTTAGAGACAGAAAACATAGGTGGCCATTTTGTTTGTCGGTACAGAGAGAGATTTACCGGGATGTGCAAAGGATATGTGTGTAGAATACACACAAAAGATAAGTGTGAATGGATGTGTACCACTTGTTTTCAGCCTGTGTGTGACATATGTTTAAAGGTCCATACAGAGCATAATGCGATAAAAATACACACATTAATAAAGCAGAATATCAAACAACTAAAAGACGATCTTTCTGTATTAAACACAAACTTTAAACCATGTTACGAGAAGATGAAAAAAGACATAAATTCATGTATTGGGACGCTGACAGGGAAAATCGATACTGTAAGTCATGTTTTGGCGCACTTTTCAAATAATCAAACCTCACAACGATCTGCCTTTAAGTTTGAATGGAGAGAATGTTCCCGGCAGCTATTAAGGAGAGTAGATACTGCATTGAAAAAGTTCAATGTAACTCTACCTCAGGACATTTTATTTCTTGCTCTTAAGATTGAAAGAAGGACAAAAATTTTAGATGATTATTTGAAAGAAATAACAAGAAGCCTTCTGGACTATAACTTTCTACAAAAATTATGTGTTCGTGTAAACTTCGATCCAATTATAGCAAGATTAAATCCCCAAAAGTGCATTATCGAAGTACGTAAAACAATTGAATCATATAAAGCGAAATATTCAGATAGAAAACAAGAAAGTAGGAAATTAGAATTAAACTATAACTGTTATAAAGATCCATCATATTTATCAGAGCGTCCACACCTTTATCAAAAACCAGTGAAAAAATCTACAATTATCAGAAAGAGTGAAAAAAAGCTTTCTATTACAAACGTATACAATGATTCTTCTCATTTTCTCGTTAATACTGCGGAAGGTCCAGTGCACTTGGTAACAGTACTTGTTTTTGCTCATAATGGAACATCCCGTATGCATGGTCTGACAGTACAGAATCTCCATGGCAAAGTTTTATGTGAAAGAGTTACTGATCTTATAGCTCAGACAAGTCCTCTACACTGTGCTCTGACACCTACACCTAATCAGAAATACCTCCTAGCCGTCTATGATGTGCTTATGGAATTTTATCTGGAAGAATCTTCTGTTAAAACATTGCATGAAGAACCATACTGGAAGTACGTAGATATAAGCTGTACATACACAGGCTTCCTACTCACAGTCCAGGAGAAAAAACGAAGAGGTCATCAACGAGAATACAGGATTTCAAGATGCGATTACAGCGGAAGGGTACTACAGGTGATTAAATTTGATAGGAATTTTGTTATTGACCCGTTCAAAATTCAGGAGGATTTACGTGGTGATATTTGGCTCATAGATAAAAGTGCAGGTAGTCTGCTTATTCTAGATCCGGCAGGAAAATCAGAAGGCACATATCTAGCCAGAGATATGGGAAAACCACGTCTTCTTCTGTGTGACGGATTTGGAAACACTGTTGTCTACAGTAGTGGACCGCCAGCTATTCATTTTATTGGTGAAAATTTGACGGAGACGCAACCAATCAAATTGAGAAAAACAGTAATAAGAAGTCTATGTTGTGACAATGAAGGGAGACTAATCTGCTTGTGTGGCTCTGGCGAGGAGGAGTTTGAAATTCAAACTTTTACTTGTGTACAATAATGCCTTATGTTCAATAAGGCGTTACACATCTATTTTAGCTCATAATTTTAAGGGCATAAGAAACGTACATTGCCTTTTTTTTCAATACTGATTTTATCATCACTAATCCACGTTCGTTCATTTGAACGGAATAATTTTAACCAAATTCTAGATTTTCTTTTTCTCACAAAAAGGCCTTAGATTGTTTTTTTTTCAATTTCAATTCATCAAAAGAATTGAGCCGAAATATGTTCTTTAATTTTCACATTCAATACGAAAATACAAAATAAAGTTTCAAATTTAATATTCAACAAACATGTTAACATCAATGAATACAGCATGATTCAAAACAACAATAATAAGATATAAAGGACAATAAAAGACAACAACAATATAAAAAAATGTTACATGTATATCATTTTAAATAAGATCTGTGAGAAAGAAAAAGGATCACAGAATTGAAATAGAATGACAACGTATATAATCTGAGAAATTTCGTATAACGTCAGATTTTGATAACTACAAACACAAAATCTGGAAAGCTTTTGGCCGACATCTAGCTTTTTAAAAATCTAGTTGTAACGTGTTTTATTGGAAATCATTACGTCATCTCAAAATGGTAGACAGAACATTGAATATGAAATTCGAATTCTAATTCTAATATCATTGTAAGTATCACAGTAAGCGGTTAGGTAGACAAAACTCGTAAGTATCGATAACTTAATTATCCAGGGTTTCAAACTAAAATTGTCCCTTTTTTTGAAAAATATGAAATAAATTTAACCAGATGAGTACATGTATTTAATCGATACAAAACAAGCTTATTATAATATTCATAAAATCATCTTGCTGCAAAAGAAAAATATTATTTTCTTACTATGTCTGCAAAAAAATATATTAATCGTATTTTTTTAAAGTGGAATCTAGTTTATATTAATAATTAACATACATAGATCTCTTAATTGGTGCGATTTCGAGGGGGAAAATCGGACATTTCCAGTGATGTTAAATCGAACGATAACATTGTGAAAATGAAAAACAAAATTATAAATGACCTTCAAGCACATATCGGTATTTTTGATGACACACATTTTGACATGCTCTTTGGATAAAAATTCATTTGAAGAGAATGAAGGACGAACATCATGGAAACATTGTGAAATTGTAAATAGGATGATGTTTTGCTGTATATTGTAGATTTTGAATCTTTCATATTATAAATTCACTGAGTATTTGCGTATGTCAAAGTTTACTTTCACCCAGTAAGTATTATTAATACTAAATAAAAGACAATGTTATTCACTACATGTAAATAATGTGTCCATGGAAATGGATTTCTTTTTGTGATTCCTGAGCATGCGTATTCGTCGCCTCGTTTTGGGTGACTGTTCTTTGACCGGAACAGGATCTGAAGCCTCGATCTCCAGACATGGATCTTTTCTCACCAGGTAGCATTTTGATTTGGCGTCACTTAATTTTGATATCCACATATCCTGGTAAACAAGATGATAATTGAATTATTAAAATTCACAGAGATAAAATTACTGGTATTTAGTATGAATCATTTTATTGCAAAAGAAAGGGATTTAGACAACTTCAGCTACATGTATATTTAATTTGAATGTTAAATTTTGTTGTAACACAGTAACTATGGCTTACTTTTGTTCATTTCTTGTATTTACTCGTCTAGTAAACTTGAAGTGCTAACTTGTTTGAACACATCTTAATATCTAGTTCACAAAGTATATTTGTTTTATCAGTTCTGTGATACTTAGATATTACAAATAAAACTGTTTGTATTGGTTTTTACTTAAATACAAAATTATCATTCAAACCATACTAAATACTATAATTCTAACCATTGAGTATAATAAACAGTATTATTCATAATTATTACCTTTGTAAACTCTGAGGGACACTGGAGCGTATATAATCCTATGACTTGTTGTAATGTACCCACTTGTACCAAAACTAACGAATTCTTTATACTACTTCCTAAAGTAAAGCTGATTAATATTACAACAGAGGATTATCTCAAAGAAAGCATAAATAGAAAAACAAAAGAACAAATTTTGTTAGATGAGAACATAAAAAAATTGATAATTTTTATGTGATCTTTTTTCCAAGCATGGGATTAATTTTCTAGATACATGTTTATAAAAATGGGAGTGTACCTGAGTTGTCATATGTGTCCACGTCGTGAATCTTTAGACATCTTAGTTCAATAGGCTGTCTGTATACAACGTAAACAGATTTATTGTCTGTTTGACCGAGATCAGACGGTTTCTAAAATGAGGCGAACATTTAAAATTCTTTTATCAGCTTGACAAATCAGTACTTATGAATTTGGATGCTTTGATAAAAATGATATACAATTGTGCATATATTTTCTTACGATCATAGATACATTCACAATTTTCAAATTGTTGAATGATATATTTTTTTCTAATCATCAGAAATGCATTTTGTATGAAAAAAATCTAAACTGATTGGACATAATTTTTTCTGATTTAAACTCACCTTTCTTCCTCGTTTGGTTTTTGTTATTAACAGCAAGTCATCAAATAAAAAGAGATAAACATCAACATTTTTCGTTGTTTCTGAAATAAATTTCAATCTATTATATCTGCAAATGAAAATGATATACTAGTGGAACAGACGGGGACATCAAGATGGTTCGAAAAATTTAATCTGTGATACTAGTATTAGAAATTACAAATGGCCAAACGTCTCGACAACCTATTAAAATTTAGCAGTAACTTTTAATACACACTATGAACTGCTTTGACTTATGCATATTGTCAGGCAAAATATATATTTTTTATCATTTGCCAGATTCGTGGTTCTGGGGTATGTCATTTATTAATCGAAATGAATAATTTACACATTGCTAAGTGCACAAAGTTATATTTACAAACAGGTATAAATCCTCTGACCAAACTTAATTTTCACAATAAAGAAGATTTTCTGATCAATTTGCTTCAATGAAGGCAACTTCAGTGAACTAATTACCTAACTGACATAAATCAACAACATGATAATAGGATCGAATAACAGTTACATTTATGAAAATAAAAGTTTCCCTGGAAAATTGTAATTCATTTAACATGTTTAAAAATGTAAAAATAAATATTTTTTTTTCAACTGATACTTACGAATAAGAGTAAGTGGGCCTTCGTGGAGTAGGAGCCGGTGTGGACAGGACAGAAGTAAGGGACAAGGTTGTGATGAAAACGATGAGCGTAAACACTACAACGATATATTGTGATGAAAACTAAGATTGTAAACTCTGCTACTATAGATTACTATGAAAAAGAAGAATATGAACAGAAGAAATGAGCCTAAACATTACAACGATATATTATGATGAAAATGAAGAGTGTATATACAACAACGATGGATTGTGAAGAGAAGTATATATGAATAGAAAAACATGATTTTGTTGTTTTATTCAATTTAAGTAAACAAAGAGAATAGAATGCAAAAAGATTTACACTGATAAACAGTAAGGCTATTGTCATAAATGAATGGTAAAACTTATTTTGTCAATATACACAAATAGTTTTAAAACGAAAGATTTAATCAGATTTTCGATTTTTCAACCGAAGATTGAAAAGTTTGTTAGTAAGGTAATTAAAGAGTATAAAACATAGCTAAATATTGATTCACAATTATGTGTTGGGAACTAACCTCTGGAATGTATGTACGAGGATCGAGATCAGTCACAATGGGCCACACGATCTGTTGTCGGAGTTCCTGTAGACGCTGTGTGTTCCGCTCTCTCCTCATTTTTTCATCTAAGCACTCTACAACGTACAGAAACATAACCCGGGTCTGAATCGATTTTAAGTATAATATACATGACTGTACTCTTAACATCTTTATTCTTTCGAGAAAGGGATTTTATTCTTCTTAAATGCGTTGTGTGATGTTTCAAATCAATTATGTTCAACCTTACTTACGCAGTGATATTTCTACTTTGCCGATAGTCAACGCCAAAATACTTTTATCATAATCTGATGACGTGTACTTCCTAATGTTGGCGAGGAGCAGAGGGAGCTTTGTGCAGTGCTGCATCGGAGCCACCAAGAAATCATTTAACTGTAGTCTGCGACAACGAGGATCCTGGGAACACCACTGAAAAAAATACGGCATTTAGATATTAGACAAAGAGCATACGGTTATTACCAGTTGACAGGATATTCTTTCTTCTTTATGGCATCTAATTCAACCTTTGATTTTTTTAGTTGTTTGTGATTGCATTTTGCCTGATTTGTAGTGTTTCAATGAACAATGAACTTTTTTTGCGTGTTTACTTCATTATCTTCATTTTTCATGTATGTTTATAGTCAACAGGATTAAAATAAAATCAAACCAGACTGATCCACCCAATTTCAAAAGAATTGATGAAATATAAATGATGATATTTTATTCAGACTGTATGTTTAGTCTCATTACTTCCTGTTCTAGATATGTCTTATAAATTTATACTGTATATGCCAATATTCTGTAAGGAAATCAACATTTTTTTTAAAATTCATTATGAACTATACCTACATAAATCTTGCGATTTTTATATAGGGAAATGTTTAACCTATTATTCAGAGGAACCTTAAACTTTAGCTAAACTCCGTGAACTAAATCTAAAATCTTCTGAATCAACATCATTCCTAGGGCACCAAAGTTAGCACGGAAAAAGTGTCAATGTATCAGTTAATTGACTTGTTATCCTCAAACGAACAAACTACTACTAAAGTGTCAATGTATCAGTTAATTGACTTGTTATCCTCAAACAAACAAACTACTACCGATTTAAATTTTAATTATCCAAATCTTCCAGAGATTCCACAGTGTGAGAGGAAAGAATTTTGATCAAAAACATTAAGTAAAAATAGACTTTTATATACATCAAAGGATTTTTTTTATCATTCGTTGCACATGTTATATGAAGAATAAATTATAACACCTTTTTTGAATAATGTATGCATTTCTGTGAAAACTTTTGATAGAGGTTTTGATGCACGTTAATCATTGAAATGAATTTTTAAAAAAAGATATTTTGTTACATTTAAAAAGAACACCAACTGAAAAAGAATCAGAGAATCTTTACATCAGCTTACCCTTTCAAACTCCACAAAGTTCTCGTTCTTCCTGAGTTTCTCTACATACTCTAAACACTTGGAATAGGAGATGCAGTAAGTGTGGTAGACATTACCATCATCAGATAGTTTGGAGAACTGAAAAATCACCCAAAAAACAAAATTAAAACCTTGTAATCAGTTTTATTTGGAATCATTTCGTATTTTTTATTCATATTAAAAATGTGCTAAATCTTTTTTTTTATGTATTTCTCAGTACCTCTTTCATTTGTATACAAATGTTTATGTTAAATTTCGATATAATATTAATGGATATTGACGTGAAAAAAAATGAATTTAATAACTGTTTTTTATAATTTATTTCAAAAGAGTGTAAAATAGAATTGATTTATTGAAAATTGTAATTGAAATTTGATATTTATAAATTCTTAACACAAGCAATAAGCACAATCTATCTAATATGAATTTATTCTGTACAATCCTTTTTTTTTGACAGCAGAAATTTACAAATAGCATAGACACCGTCAAAATTAGCCAGTTACATTATACATATTATCTACCTTATCTAATGCTTCAACCAGTGACGAGGCTGGCCAGATCTCCTCAGATTTCATGCTTCTCAATAATACCGTGATGAGTTCCTTGCAAAATGTATAGCTTACCTACAATAATGATACCAAAAACCAAATACAAAACGTATAGCTTACCTACAATAATGATACCAAAAACCAAATACAAAACGTATAGCTTACCTACAATAACAATACCAGAAACCAAATACAAAATTTATAGCTTACCTACAATAATAATACCAGAAATCAAATACAAAATGTATAGCTTACCTACAATAATAATACCAGAAACCAAATACAAAATGTATAGCTTACCTACAATAACAATACCAGGAACCAAATATAAAATTTATAGCTTACCTACAATAATAATACCAGAAACCAAATACAAAAGGTATAGCTTACCTACAATAATAATACCAGAAACCAAATACTAGTCATTATACGACAGTTCATGAATGAACAATTGGCCAATCTCGGAATTTATTTTTAGAGAGTATTATTTCAGATCATGAATTCTAGAAGAATAAGGCTGTGACTGGTACACGGGATATGCGTAGTCTTTCTGCACACCTTTGTTACCTCTGCAGTACCCTGCAGAAGCCGTGGTATATGTTCGTGGGTTTACTGGTATTTTTCAATGTTTTTAAGTTTTCGTTGTCATCATTTACACACTGAATTCAGTGTCGATGGATACTTTTGGTAATTTCCCGATAATGACAAGGAACACACGGGCGGGTTTGACCGGTCGGCAAGGGATGCTGACTCCTCCATGGCACCTGATCCCATCTTAGATGTTTTAGGGGACCGTGTTTTTTCTATGTGGGGTAACCCCTTACATGTATTTTGTTATTTGTATTCTTAATCACTCCCTTTACAAAAAATGTTAATAAAATTAGCTAACATTTAAACAAATCGGGATGAAACATGTTAGTTAATTATTTTCCTTTTACTTTGAGTTATATTGATCAGGAATATATTTACGTAAGGAAATGAATTATATCTGTCTTATAATAAGATTAAAGAAAAACAATAATTATATAATGAAATTAAAACTAATGCTCACGTAACACAATTCGTCTAGATTGCTGAAAATCTCATTAGGTTCTGCAAACATCAAATGATCGTCAACTTGAAGCTTCTTTAATGGTTCCATGAAACACTGAAATGAGATTAAAAAAAACAAATACCAAATAAGAGTGTATTTAAAATCTTTCAAAGATATTTCATAACACAATTGATTGTTGTTTATTCATAAACACTAAAAAGATAATAGTGTAATAAAACATATTGATATGAACAAATGAACCTCAGTAAATTTATATTTAAAGAATATGAAGTAGGTTTGTCAACTGGGCTGTTACACATTATATTTTCAATGACTAAACTACTTAGAGAATAATATTAGTTAGGTTTACAATTTATTATTTTAATAGTTATTCCTTTCATGGTCATTAATCAAACTTTGAGTTCAAATTATGTGAAAGAAGGACATGGAGATAATGAACAATATTCAATATCAGTCCATAAAACAATACCAAATATTAGCAGAGCAAACACGGACCTCCGAAACATCAGAGGTGGGATCAGGTGCCATGGAGGAGTGAGCATCCCCTGCTGACCGGTCACTCCCGCCGTGTGCTCCTTGTCATGATCGGGAAATAACTGGAAAAATCCGTCGTCAATTCAGTGTATAAATAATGGACTAAAAATTAGTTGAAAAACGTCAGTCAGCATTGGACTCAATGATAAATTGAATTTGATGACAAGGTCATTGTATCGACCATAGAACTTACGAAATGATGACTTTAAACGAGACTGCTGATATTTTTGTTTCATCAAATTGCTAGACAATAATTTACCTCGTTTTAGAAACTGTTCATACGTAGAGCATGCTCCTGCGTATCGAATCAACTGAGATATATATACACCGAACTTATGGAAGTTGACGATAGAAAAGTTAAAACATATAGCTTGGTAGTTATATTAGCATTAACGTCTTTTTCTAGTAAAATATGTATGAAACAGATATGTTAGACTCTGTGATATCTTTTATCTCAAGCTCACCAGGATATATCGTATGGACGTAGGAATGGAAATTACTATTGTTAATTGAAAATACGTCGTCGATATATAGGTGGAATTGAAGGCCACAGCAAGCGTTTTCTTCTTTGTACGCATAAGATTTTGCACAAACTTTGCTTCACATGAATACAAAAATAGGTCTGCTAATAACGGAGCGCAATTAGTACCCATGGGAATTCCAATAGATTGATGGAATACCTGATCTCAAAAAACCATATAGATATTGTCAATCAGAAACTCAAGCATCTCTTTGATGTCAATTTCAGGTACTTGTGTGTGCAATCAGAATGTGTTTTAACAAATAATTTTGCAAATGACCAATGACCAGGTAAGTAAATTTCCGAGATCCATTTTTATTGAAAAAACAGCTGTCAATGATATCAAAAAGCCTGGACTTTAATTTATCGTGGGATATCGTTGTGTATAGAGCTGAAAAGTCGTAAGTTTTTAAGCTGTTGATTTTGGTAAAATCTTGTGAATTCAAATTGTCCAAAAGTTCTTTGGAATCTTTTAGTATTCACATCTGATTCACACCACTTCTTGAATATATTGTTGCACAGTACTCTTGAAGGTTTCCCTCACTACTGTCAATATCTTAGTGAGGAGTAAAGAAACAGGCTTGGTTGAACATTTACTGGAACGTACAATGTATCTATGTTTGTAAGGATTTTTATGAAGTTTCTGAATCCAATATATATAGGGTAGTTCAATGAATATTTCAAAGTTAGTTATAAAATTTATTTTCTTGAAGGCGAGTAGTATGGATACTTTAACTAATTACAGATGACGCCAATTAATGTTGATATTTTTCATTTTTATCATTCTGAGTCATTAAACTTTGAAAAATAAATATGATTGGAAGAGACATAGGTCAGTGACTGCTCATTATAATCGGACAAAATGTCAATAGGGAGAAGAAAAGAATATTTCTTTCATTTTTTTCCCCATATAATTATCTTCCTCATTGAAATTGAAGCTAATAACAGATACGAAGACTCGGTCTTCTTCTCAACTTTCAACTTTTGCTAAAGTTATCATGAAAGTCTGCAGTGTGTATGTAATTAAATTTTTTTTACGTCAGATCCTTAATTACTAATATTTTGAATTAATTTATTTTTTCATATGTTTACCATTACGTACGTGTTTAAGGACCATGAGATGATCTATAAGAAATACACATTCGCTGGTGAAAAGTTCCCAGATAGCCTCTCTTCTTTTTCTTTCTATGTCGGGGAGTTTCAAGGGTTTTTCATCGTTTTCTGTCCGTGCAATCAGATCAGACCAATGGAAGGACTTTGGAGAGAGAAAAAAAAATCATCAATATCGAGCATAGGAAAAGATGGCAAGTCACAATATCATAAAATATTTTGAGCATTTGAGAATATTATCACCGAAAGGAATTTGTATTTATTGTTTTCTATTATTTTTCATTAACACATTCAATATAGTGTTTAAACACAATATTTGCAATAGAACTGTGGGATTTTCGGCTCTCTTACTTTTGAAGGGATCGATTTCTTTGTCAAAGGATTCTAGATAATTTTCCACAGTAAATCAACTAACCTTATAGCCTGACAGATCATTGTCTGAGAATTTTGAAGGAGTTAGTGTAACAAGAGCCTCGCTCAGCTTTGTGATCTCATCTTTACTTCTGGCGCGGATCTAAAATAATGCATTATCAATTTTTTCTGCAAATGTAATAATGCTCGTATCTTCTAAGAAATAGTGTTAGATACAGTGTACCTGACCTTACGTAATAGTTAGATCTCAACTTTACTCTCTGGTTTATTTAAAGCCTTCAAAAGATATTTTCAATTATTATGTGATTTTCCAAATGAATGTGTATTTACGACTGGTAACGGAAATACTACTTACAAGTTTGTTGAATGAAAACGGAAAGGTCTGTCTACCTCTTCTATACTCTGCAATCGAGAAAAGATTTACTCAAATGAAGGGACATATGATCTTATGTAAAAAGGAGAAAATAACTACTAAGGATCTGTTTCGTATATCTGGAAAACAAAACAAAGCGAAGTGCGTTAACTTGGTCCCAAATTTAATGCACCTTTTTTTTCAAAGTGCGTTGTAACACGCGAGTGGAACTGACATGAATATGTATGATTTATAATGAAGGATTTGAAGAACGCCCACAAGAATGGATAATTCTATTTATCATATAATAAAAAAAATCATAATTGATTTTTTTCTTTTACAAAAATAAAAATATTTCACCACCTTTTCATTTTACGTTTAATTAAATTATATATTTACAGAAGATTGAGAAAAAATCGTCATCGTGGTCAGATTTAAGAAAAAGGAGAAAGAGAAGTCGGATGAGAATAAATAATTTAACATTTTTTGAAAGAAAAGTTCACTAGCTGTCTGTTAATGGCTTCAAATTAAGACTTTTACCCGGCTCGCAGCCTTTTGAGCAGAAATGGTTAATTTGGTTAATTTTTCAAATAATAATTCATACTAAGGAACACTCTATTTCCTGTTTTTTACATATCGTTCATGGTGGATTTTCCCACTTTATGAGTTATGTTAATTCTCGGCATCTACATGAACCTCCGGTTTTTCTTAATATTCTTAAAATACTCTATGTGGTAATGGCCAATTTTTGCCCCCCCCCCCCCCCCCAAATCAAACTTTGGCGGAGGAATATATAATTATGTTTTAAATCAGGGATGTAACTGTAGACTTAAAAGCACTGCATACGTTCAAAAGCCATGACGTCATATGTTTGATATGACTCGGGGAAAATGACGTACGTTTAAATTGTCGATAGAACCTATAGAAAATGGAGTACTTTAGTATTCTGATTGCAAGTCACCGAGCGCAGGTGTGCTCAAGCTCAATATCTTGATATTATGTGTAGAATGATAATATCAATAAAGTATGTAAATATTGTTAAAAAAAATTCTTGAGCAGACCTGCGCTCTATAATTTATTTTAAAGAAATTGAGCAAATTTTCTCTATTTTTGGGAATAGTTTGTGAAGTTATAAAAACATAAATTGTCAATAACGTACTTTGAAGCTTTATTATCTCTTAATTGTGATTTTTTTTTCATACAATATATACACTTTAGCACAATTCAAGGTAACTTTCAAAAATAATATGGCTTTTCCGGGGGGAAAATATGCAAAATAATATAGTTCTTTTAATTTAAAATTGTTCACAGTCTTTATGTCTGCGATGAGCAAACATTTAATAGTTTATATAATTTATAAAGTCGCATACAACGTATCCAAAACATACTTCAATGTTTCGATGAGCAATGAATAAAAACAAAATAATGAGTTTTATTTCAATAATTTAACAATTATAAGCTAATACGACTCACCAGTTCCGGTACTGTCTAGGTTAGGATCATGTTTGTAGAAATCAGCAATAGTGTTCCTTTTGACGAGTTTCTTTCTCCTATCCCTCAGAGCTCGGTCCGCCTGGTAGGTGGTCGTCTCTAGGTCCACGGAATCCCGCCGCTTTAGGCCTATCATTCCTCTAAAAGAGAACAGATTTAATGGACACTCTGTTAGCCAGGAGCATCGTCTAGTCATTGCGACACAGAAATCGAAAAAGGTCAGTACCAATCGGACTCCATCGTAATCCAACACAAAAACAAAAATTGAGTTCTGATTTTGAGCAATCTATCATTCCTAGGACTCACTATTACAGTACAAGCATTTCCTTTCACTTTCATTGAACGGTATGATAGGTTTCATATGTGTTTGTTTCAGAATTACGATATTCCAACAATAATTGAAATGGATAAATCGAGGAAAATATTATTTATCCAATGAAAAACTGCTTTAGACATGTTATTCTATTTCTTCGATTAATTTGCTGAATAATGTGATAATTGAAGTGATTATTGCATTATCAGTGGGCTTCCTAGCATTTGCTTTCTTATTTTAGTTTGGAAATCATGTTTTGTGTCAATCTATCGCCTAAGTTGATAGTTAAAAATAGATCAGGCTACATTGTATAAACACAAAATAGATGAACGAATGAAAATAAAAAGATCCTATTTGTAAGACACAACATGACTATCTGTAGATTCCAATTTGGCTTAACAAAAGCAAAAGAAAATCTACAAGTAGCCCTGTTACAACGCACTTTGAAAAATTACGAACTTTTAAAAAAAATTTCAAAGTGCGTTAAATTATGGACCAAGTCAACGCACTTTGAAAAAATAAAATTTCTTTTCAAAGTGCATTAAAAATAAATAAAATATTAAGAAATTCCACGAACTTTTGGATCAACCCTCGTAGGTACATATCATAAAGTCCAGAAATTATTCATTTATTTGTTCAACCTTTCAAATAAGAATTAACGAAAGTCTAAAAAAAATTGTAAAAGGTGAAAAGAACGGCATCTTACCATCCAAACTTGATCAATTTTATACTGATAAAAATTTCAAAAAGGTGAATGGGGGGGGGGGGCATATTTTTAGAAAAAATATTTTCGTGATATTTTGGGAAAAAATTGTGATATATCGTTATATGAAATTTTTGGCGATACCCATCCCTATATAAAATTACCTCAAACTTCAAAACCTTTTTCAGGGGTTGGGGTGGTCTATTTTCATAAGGTATATGACTTCTTGACATTTTAATGAGTCCTGGGGAATGGGTTTATGGACATTACATACCGGTAGAACCTTTTTACTCCAAAAATCTCAGAGAGGGGGCTCAGCCCCCTCCCCGAAATATCTTCCTTTATAGCAATGCACATATACGGGCCATTCATATCTATAGTTAAGTATAACCTGAACGAAGTCTTAAAAGTCAGATCCCCCCATTGCTTTTATTTGAAACGTTAAAGATATAAAAGGAAAAAAAATTAAAACCCACTAAAGATGCCATGGAATCCCTAAAAATGCATTAATGATGATTATCTTGAAACTGGAAATGGTTCTTCTTCTATAAATGTTAACCTCAATATAGTATTCAAATGTTTCTCGCTGTATTTAATATTATGTTCATTGCTAGTTTTTATATTCTTTCGGATTTATTTTGTAATTGTTTGTGTGCTGGGGGGATATCACATTGTTAATTAAGCTCTTGACACTTTGAAGTAAACATTGCAGGTCTTCCGGATGAGACCGTTTCATGTTATATATAGGCGTTGGCATGCTTAAGAATTCTCACTGCTCAATGGCCCTAAGCGCCGAGTAAAAGTACAAATTTGAAACCCTTCGGTATATGGTGAAGTATTTATTTAAGTAAAAGTTCTTAAGCGGGGAGTAAAATAACATACAATCAACCGATCTGGATCCTTTGAATGAGTCCTTTAAAACGAGGTCCGAGTAAAGGACAAAATTTGCAGCTCTCCACTTGCAAGTGCATGGTTGCGTCTCCTCAATAGTGAAAAATTCTCGAGAGGGATGTTAAACAATAATCAAACAAACTAGCGTTTACTTATTTATCTATGGCATAGAGTCTTTCTTGTGACAATTAAAATTTATATACAGTTTTAAATGATAAATTCTACTTACTGTGATAGGAAAATAGTATTTTAAATAACGTTTCCTATGTACATGTATGCATGTGTATTTTGGATAATTTTCATTTAAGTAAAAAGTTCTCGAGCTTGAGCAGGGTGAAAAACAACATACAATCAATCGATCTGGGCCCTTTGGATGAAACCTATAAACAGAGGTCCCACGAAAAAAATCCCTCAGTCTGCTGTAATTTGGATAAGTCGAAAATATTAAGCTGAAATGCACGAATCTATTATATAATAGGATATGTTTTAAAAATATATATGAAAATCTTACAATGCGGCCTATTTCAACGATTTCCCATAAAATTAAATCCCTTGTGTGACCCTACTTGGCTCCGGGGTAATGTTAAGAACTGACCAGAAGCCAAATATGAATCAAAGTGATTCATAATGTTTAAAAAATATATTTACAAATTACATGTACAATAAAATAAACTGTACATAATGAGCACCATTGCAATACTGAATACACACACACACAGGTCAAGAATAAGGCTATCTTTAGAATAATGCTTGTTTAATGCAAATAAACAATTTAATAAACAAATAATGCTTCTCCAGACTCAGGGTAAAATTATTTGGAAAAACCCTTTTCCAGAAAATTTCAACATATCTGTTGACGAGATAAGAGGGATACAAAGTATCTTGTCCTGGAATGTAAAGTTTTGAGACAGGCCATTTTAGTCAGTCAGTCGGGAACGGGCAACCAAACATTTTTTTAAGATGTTCAAATCTATATTACATGTATTTTTACTAGCAAAGTAGATCTCACCAATAGAATCAACATTCTGAAGAAGAAAATAATCTTTAAACAAAGTCAAACAACAAAAGTTTTCAATGTAACTTTCAGCTAATAAAATATTTTTATGTTGCAATAAAATCACTAACGACACTCCATAGATTATTTCCCCAAATGTTTCAAACATCTAGTAAAGGAGAAGTTAACACTACATTTAGACGTATATAAAATTCTCAATCTTAATTATATCTTCAGTAAATAGGTGAAATTTAAACCCTGGAGTGTATACAAAATGAATTATTAATTTTATTATGCTTGTTTAAAATGAAAAGAGGTTTGTTTTCAGTGGATTAATTGTCTCCCTTATTGCATATGGTAGCACATTTCTGCAATATATATTTTTTTCAAACTAGTATATATTTATTTCCAAAACAGACATATTTCGCCATTATAAATATTTTTCTAGAGTTTTTATATGTAAATTAGAATATCATTTACTAATTATAAATAAAGGAAAAAATTCTGTTGCAATTCACTGAAGGTTTATGACTGAACTAAAAGACCCCAAAACGTTAACGTTAAGTTTGCAGTCATCCTTTATCGAAACACTTCCATTGTTCCATGTATACATTTTTTATTTATCTGAATGAACAGAATTTTCAATGAATTTTACCTTGCCTAACTCATCATTTCTTGTCAATTCCAACCAGCTCTCGTTCTTGATGAAGATGAGCCAGGGAACCAGTCAAATCTAAATATCCTTAATGTTCATGAATATTTAAAACGTATTGGAACTTACCGATATCGTAATAATACTTGGAATAATAAATACGAGAGACATTCAATAAATAGTGATACTTCTTCAATAAAGTAAGAAATAACATATGAATCTTTTATATTTTATTTTCATCCCTTCAAAATAATTACCCTTTACTTCAACACATCTTTGATGTCATTTTATCCAGCTTTGGAAGGCGCCTCTATACTCCGAAAGAGGTATACCCTTTAGACACTGATACACAGCTGAACCCAATGCAGAACGAGAAAAAAACGGCTTCCAGATAGCATCTATTTCAATTTAGGGAATAAGAAAGTCACATGGGGATAAATCTGGTGAATAAGGGAGGTGATCCAGTTGCTGTATTCCATTTTCCAACAAAAATCTTGCGTGTACTTGCAGTGTGTGCTTGGGCATTATCATGTAAAAGCTTGATCCCCCTCATTCCTGACTTTGGTTTTCTATTTTTGCAGTGTTTTTTGTACCTCAGACAGTATCTTTTTCACGTGAAAATTTTAATAACACTTCTGCCCTTTTTTTTTTATTGGAATCTGAACAACAATCCCGTTAGAATCACAAAGATTGCATACAAAACCTTCCCTGCTGTTTTGCCGCGTTTAGTAATAGTAGGTCGTTTACTTTCTTTAAGGAGCCATATTTCTTTTCCCAGCTTTCTCACAGGTTCATAAAATATGTAGCCAAGTTTCATCCTCCGTAACAATTTCATGCACACGTCTTTTATCACATTTTCCATAAATTTTCGAGTTTTGGAGAAATCTGTAATCACTTTCTCTTTTGCTCGTCATTTAAAATGTGTGGAATCCACCTTGCCGATACTTTTCTGACTCCTAAATAGTGTTTTCAAATTTAAAAATGCTACCAAATAAAATGCTCAGCTTCTTGGCAATTTGGTTCATGTAGTTCACTCTGCCTTCTCTGTCGATAATATTTTTCATTGCTGCAACGGATTTCTCATTGATAATTGGTCTAGGCCTTCCTGACTGTTTGATATTTTCAACCGAATCCCTACCAAGTTTGAAATGCATTATCCATCGATAAACGGTTTTGATCGACACAACAGAGTTTCCATATAATGAAAAGAGTTCTTTGAAAATTTCTTTTCCCTTGATATTCATTAGAAAACGATATTTGATATACGATCTGATATTCAAAATGAACTTTAGGGACTTTCTTTCTGTCTTCATGTTAACAGCGTTCACAGAATGGATCCAAAAAGATGCTTTCTTCGAAATTTGCTTTATAAATAGGTTAAAACTACGTTTCAAATCAGAAATATGAAAGACAATAAACATTTTAAAATAAGTTCCATTTTAATTAAATGTAAAATTTAAAAGGAGTACGTGTAGTGTGACTATTGAATGACTAGCCCTCGTAGGTATTATACATTTATTTGATAAGAAATCGGTATTAGTCCAGTGTGTTTTGGTAATTAAGCAGTACAAATCAGTTTTCCCTTATAAAGTGAAAAATCAATTCAAACATAGAATTATAATAAATGAATATGATAATTTTTAAACATTGATAAACAAAATCTCATTTTGTATCGCATAATGTATTGTGCAGTGAAAAAAAAAATTTAAGTGTCAAAAAAGAACCTAAAATACACTTGTTAGACTTGAGACAAGTACAATAAGGTTATTCCATGTCAAAGTTCCACTTAGAAACTGTTGTATCTCATACGTTTCACTATTATCACATTGTCGGACGATTAAGGTACTGTACTAACAATAAATCGGTCGTTAGTGATTACCTGACAATTTATTATTGTTTTTGTGAATTGCAAAAGACTTCAACAAGGGTCATGTAGTATAATTGCACCTGTTGTCTTATTTCGATTGCTCATTTTTAGATACAAACCTCATTTGTCCAACATTAGTCAACTTATTTAATTTTATAAATTATGGCTATTACGACCTCACTTCTGGGCTGCACTTGATACCAAAAGCCAGTTAACTAGTACACTTAGTACAATTTTGTGTATAGGCTTGATGCATTCGTGGATATTATAGAAATTTGTCAGAATGCATTGATCTGTAAAACAAAATTTTGATTGGAACTCCGTGGCTTATGTTCTGAATAATTGATTGTTATGCATTAGTAAAAGCACGTTTTTTTTTTGTTTTTTTTTGTTGCTGAAACAAGGAAGTATTTCAAAATGACTGCGAAATGTAAAATCTATATAAGTTGATACTTTGTTAGGCAAACAAACACTTCAGTATACGATAGAGCGTAATACATTAGGTATGTTTTCCCTTTGTTCGCAGACTAAAACAGAATATATCAGATAAAAAATCCTTTCCGTAGTACTCTCACATCCAACAATGTCAATAAATGCTTGCCAAAGATGATGCATGAGAGCCAACTGTTCGACATGAAAGACACTAGAAATAAGAATAATATACTTAGTCTTCTAACATTAAGTAACGGTTATTCCAGGTTAACTCAAATCAGTGTAAGGAATAAGATATATCAAATTTTTGAGAAATACACATACTATATATCCATAGACACATTAATCAGAACGGAAAGTGATGCATTGACATGTACATATTACCGTAACATTTTTATATCAATTAATGTTTAATGTAAAACACCAGAAAAATTTAGAATGAAAGCACTAATTAATGTTTCAATCATTATTATCGCTTTTCTCTTTTTAGATATATTTATATATATATGAATAGTCTTGAAACCGACTTACTTGAGTAGATCAGGCTCCTCGTCTATGGATGTGGAAGGCGTCAATTCTGTAGAACGGCAGATCAGATCGCCCACATTCTGAGAGAGAAAAAAAAAATCATCGATCGTGAGACAATAATTAGAATGGATTTAAATTCATCTTTATTACATACATAACACGCAACAACAGTCTTCAGGTCATTTTTTTCCCGAGGAACTTCTGTCTGACTGTGAGTAAAAAATCGTTGATATCTGACTTGGACAGAAGTACTAGATCAAAAACCTAATCTTAATTATACACATAAATCTGGAGTATTGCCCGAAAAGCCATAAATCCAGGGGAAGAGTATAATTTGCAATGCATTTTTAATGTGTATGGAAAACAATATTAACTGGTTCTTTGTGTTAAAGTTTTTTTTTGAAGAATTATTATTTTCTGAATAGCAATAGATTTTATTTATTAAGGTATAAATTAATAAAAGCTTTTATGAATTTGGAAATTTCAAAATTGTTGTATGAATCATATTTCTTTCCTTAAGAAAGGGAAAAAAGCAACTATGAACCAGTATTCGGCTTTAAAGCGTACTTATAGCTATTTCTGACCTATATATGGAATAATGTCAGTACACCATTATAGGCACTGGAGGTCATTGATCATTTGTACGCTCAATAATGAAATAAACTTATTTCTTCTTTGTCCCCTAAGACCGTCAGACATGGTTATTATATACAAATTAACCCGGTGGGAAGACCAGTTACGATCTGTTAAATCGCCACCTCAGTAGAAATTTTTGTTCAGGAGCTCACGAGGTCTCACAATTTTGGTATTTTGAGGATTCTTTTATACTTTAATCTTTTTGTATTCCTCTCTAGAATTCAGTTGTCGTATCTCTGTTGCTATATGTATTTGAATATTATAATCTTTGTAATCTTAATATAGTTGTCGAGTTACTAAGTTGTTAAAGTAAACGTTAACGTAATATAAAAGAATGCATTTGCCTTATAATGTTTTCTAGTCATCTGCTTTTATTAGTTTCTATATGTGTAGATTTAATACTATTTATTTTCGTTCATTAAGTGTCACGTGCAAAATCCAAGATCATTTTAATACAATAAGGCCATTCCAAGTTTTTTCTAAGTTTAGCGTCCGCGTACGCATTGGTTTTTGACACCCCATATGAGAAAAAACACACAACAACAGGAGTCCTGAAATTGATAAATTTAGTCGAAATTTTTGAATTTTGTAAATTTCTCCAAATAATTCTGTACAGTAAGTTATATTGGGTGTATTGTAAGCATTTAATCCGTTGTTTTTGCTTAAGAATAGATATTTCTTCCATTAACGCAGTTTAGTTAGTTTAAATCATTTGAATGACGTAATTTTTATGACTTTTAAGCTTGTGTTTTCTGTTTTGGCTTGTATGTTTTTTGCGAATAGGTAGGTAGGTTTTTGAAAGATGAGTGGAAGCTAAACAGAGAAAGAACTTGGAATGGCCTAAAATAGTTTTACAAAGCTTAAGGAAAAGTTAGGAGAAAATATCTAAAGTTAGTTCGCATGTGGAATTACTGAACACTATTGGAAAAGTTATGTTAGGCTTTTATATACTGGAAACATCTAATTGAACAATAAACCTCAACATTAATCAGCTGGGTTTTAGCTCTGTCCAACTGCCTTTCTGTTTATCTGTCTGTTTGTCTGCAAAAACTTTATTCTTGTTCCCAACTGTATTTTTTGTGACAAGACCTTTCTTTTGGTATCAAAGTAATTGACATTTGGACCTTGACCCTAGAGTTTAACATACTTTTGAAAAAATTTACCAAATTTTAGCCCTGGTCATTTTGAACAGTTAGCACTAGATCTATTATATTTAATGTATATGTTTATCATGACAAGACCTTTCCATGAATAAAAGAAGTGTATTTTATTCCTTTACTTTTGAGTTTGACGTACTTCTAAAATATTTAAACGGACAATGGTCAATACTGTTAGTACATGTACAAGAGCCTCTTTATTTTACTGATGAAATATATGGAGAATAATACATACCCTTTTCCATATCACATCCTGTATCAGCCCGAGACACCAATATCAGCCAGAGGGCCGAAGGCCCGAGGGCTGATATTGGTCGAGGGCTGATACAGGTTGTGATGTGGAAAAGGGTATGTTTTATTATATTTATTACATACTTAGTAATAAAATACAGCATGCATTAAGTTGAGAAGAAAATAAGTGAATAATCATGCATGGACTTCTTTCATACATATACATGATCTATTGTCTCATATGATTTGGGTTTGTTTCTACTCCTATTTCAATGCACTCGATCCGTAATTTGAAAATAATCTATTACATGTATTTGTAAATTAAGATTAACTTTATTTTCAAAAAGTTAAAATTAAAGAGAATATGAACCCGCCAAAAATTGTGTATGATCACAAGTACTGTTTTTGTGGTTTAATTTACTAAGGGTGTGATATTGACGTCACAGTAGCGTATCAGCCCTGCAGGACTGATATGGATTTGCAGGGCTGATATAGGTTATCAGCCCCGCAAATCCATATCAGCCCTGCAGGGCTGATACGGCTATTGTGACGTCAGCTATATCGTATATGCAAAAAACCTGTATTTATTACTAAGTGTGTAATAAATGGATATAACGAACAGTATTCAAGCTCAAAAGTCCATAAAACATTTAAAAATAGGATCAGAGGAAACACGAACCTCCAAAACATCAGAGGTAAGATCAGGTGTCATGAAGGAGTAAGCCTCCTCCGCCGTGCCGTGTGTTTGTCATGATTGGAAAATAACGGGAGAAAATCCGTCAACAATTCAGTGTGAGAATAATGGCCTAACAACAAGTATTGAGAAAACGTCAGTCAGCATTTGACTTAACGATAAATTGTATTAGCTTAAAAGGTTATTGAATCGACCATAGAATTTTCTTGTGGCAAGGCCTTTCGATGGATTTAAACAATTTTGAACTTTTGACGTTTACCCTGATCTACTTTTGAAATTAAAAAAACGTTGCCATTACTTTTGCACAGTTTGATCTAAGGCTTTAATATTTGACTTTTTTCTGACCCTATAATCTTGACTTTTAGAGTTTTACCAACATTTAAAAGCTTTGATCGTGCCCATACCTTTTGTTTGACTTGTGCTGGGTTTTTGATATTTCACAGGTTTTTTTTAATGATACAAGTCTTTTTGGGGGTTATTATTTTTTTTACTTTGATATTTCCCTGTTTATGAGAATAAACGTTCGTTTTGACCAAAAACTTCAATTTGGTGGTTTCAGTGTTTCTCAAAACATTTTGTTTGGAAATGGTATCTAGTAAATGTTCTACCAAATCTGTCTAATTTTAGGTTGATACGTAGCAGGAGCTAATATGTGCTCTACCAACCATCTCTGCTTATCTAAGGTAATGATACAAAGTGGGATCTAGTCAATGTTTTAATAATCATTTTCCAAACATAGTAGTATGTAGCAAGTGTTAAACCCAGTCTCTGTAAGTACATCATTTTAGCATTTTTAAATGCTTAAAAAGATATTGTAAATGTTATTTCGAGTCTTTTCCTTACTTTTCGAATATGAAAGATAACTGGATTGAGAAAATGTTATACTAAACATCTCCCTTTACTCGTATTTACAAAATATATTATAGTACTCCATATTTGTCAGTGATGTTTAATGTACATAGATTCAATAAAGCTTAGCATGATCTAGATAGAAATATTTCTAGGCAAGTGTATGGTGTGGCAAAGGTTGCAATATTTGATCTGATATTTTCTATTAATTTTGTAGTCTTATATTTTTGTTATTTTTCATGGTGATTTTAATTTATTTTCCATATTCATCTTTTTCTTCAATATTTCTTCTATTGTCTATTTACAGGTTTCAATTCTTTTCATGATTTTTTTCAAATTTGTATATTCTACAATTTTTTATTTGTGTTTTTTATTTAAAGTTTATATTGTATAATTTTCTAAAGTATTTTTAATATAAAAATATGATATGAGATATCAAAAAATATCCAATGAGTCATATTCACAGGATGAATGGGTCAACATGGGATAAACAGTTATATAAAGAGTTAATCATGATGTACAGTACGTATACATTGTTGGCTGAACATGTTGTTTATACATGTATTGGGTATTTTCCTATATGATCAGTCGCCCGCATGGCTCAGTAGTTAGAGCACTTGCTCTAGAATTGCGAAGTAAGGAGTTGATCCTTATGTCGCGGGTTAGAATCTCACTGTGGCAAGTGGAGACCGGTCCTTCGGATGAGACCGTATAAACCGAGGTCCCGTGTAGCAGTAGGTGCTGGCACGAAAAGATTCCTCACTGCTCAATGACCTTAAGTGCCGAACATAGGACAATATTTGTAGTCCTTCACCGGAAAGTGGTGGCGTCTCCATATGAGTGAAAAATTCTCGAAAGGGACGTTAAACAACATACAATCAATCAATCATATATGATCACTCATAAGCTTTAGTTCATGTTTGTTTATTTTTAAAGGGGATCTAATACCGTAAAAATATATTATAGCAAATATATTCAAATTTCAAGATAAGTATAAAATTTGTGCAATCTTAGCAATAAGAAAGACTTTGTTATTACATATAGTATTACGTTCGTGAGAAAAACAATATGAGCAATCATATCCGCAGAGTTCAAACGTACGTGCGATTGACATTTAACCTACCGATGTATGTAAATTAAATATTGAACAAAAGCTGCAATGGATGTAGGACATTTTTACTGATCCTACGGATCTCCATATAAATTACTTTTGGATATATCTGTGATGCTTAAAAATAGAACGCGTTCGATGTGTGCAGACAACAACTTCAGTTTATGATGTAATGGAAACGGGATTTTTTTTTATTTGTGTTTCCTGCCTTGCTAACAGTACTATGGTGTTTTTATAAAAGATATATTTTTATAGGTCGGCCACTGCTCATTATCTTCACCTTTTGACAGCATTAAATAATTTTATCTTTCCTTTTTGCTATATTTTGTGTTTCTTGAACGAATTTAATAATAAATGCATATAAATTAATACTAATGAATTTTCTCATTTAAAACAAACACATAAATGGAATTCTGGCTATATGCTGTTGTCTACACCTCTTGTTTGAATTTTTTTTTATCTTTGAAATACACCTGACGAAAAGATGTTTTTAAATGATTCATCACTTACGATTAATTAAATTAATATTTTACTAGGTGATTGTTTAAAAAAAATACTTCGTAAATATAATAAATGTACTTTTTTAAAGATGACATACTGTCCTGATAAGACATAAAAAATTGTTTAAGAGAATATAAAAATTATCTTAGAAATAAAAACCACTCTGACACATTTAATATTCTGAGACAAAAGAATTTTTCTACAGGATATAAAAGGCTGCTTTTTCATTTAGAAAATATATGTTGTCTGCCAAAGAGAAAACACATAGAAAAATCAATATTTCTTATTGCGTCTCACATTTTTGTGACATTTCGATATCTGTGGAAACTTAATTACGTGGCTACAATCCGCTTAAATAATTTTATAATTTTATTAAAATAAAATTCATTTTTTTCTTTCATCGACTTTTGCTCTCCAGAAGAGACTAAAAGTACATTTTCAATTTTTTTTAAACACTCTAGAAACCTTTCCCCCTCAATAATCATTCTTCTTTAAACATATTTAAAAAAAAAATTCCATACAAAAATTGTTTGTTTATGTCTCTCTGTCCAAACTACAGTCCTACTACAAATTGTTTGGTTTTGTCTCTCTGTCCAAAGTACAGTTCTACTACAAAGTACACAGAAGATAAGCAGAATATCCAATACATTGTGGCAACACAAATTATAATAATACAATATAGAGTATTTCCTTTTCTTCTCAAAAATTACCCGCTATTTACCATTTAGATGACAAAATGGCTCACATCTGCCTTATCTTTATAGGGACAATGTCAAATAACAATGGATTGTAAGACCTTTCAAAGGGTACATTATAATCATGAGAGATATTGCAGATCTGAAATAGTTTTTTTTCGGTATTTTTTTTTAGTTTTTTCACACAAGCAAACATTTTTCCCAAGCCAAAATTTCGTCTAGCCAAAAATACATGAATTAATAAATGATGATGGGTATTCTGATTTTGGTCCTGAATAAGTAATTACACTGCCGGCAGTGGCAAAATGGGCGAAAATAAAAATGAAACAAACAGAAACAATGCTTTTCGACATACTGTATATACATATATAGAAATACTATAACAATTTGTTTATCATAAGACCTTATAGGGAATTCTACTACGTTTATTGCCGAGATCAAAGAAATGCTGCGGACATTATTCTCCAATAAATCACGAACGTCATCAAAAAATTATCAGCTCAGAAACACGTATCAAAACTGTACATTTTAAATGCATATTTGACTGTAGAATGAAATACTTGTTTAGACAACATCGATATGTCGTCTTTTGCAGTCTACACACTGTACATTGCAAAACGTTGCTGATGATTGTCGGTTTTTATAGTTAAGCGGGGTTGTTCCATGGACCTCCCTATGCAATTTTAGTCCTATTTTTAAGCAATAAAATAGAAACATGATTTTGTAATTCAATTTATATGTGTAACGAACAAATTTGTAATTAACAAATGCTATTTTTAATCAACGAAGGCTCAAATCGTCTGCATCCACACACAGGTAAGAAAACAAATTTTCTCTGTGGTGTAAAATGGCACAGCAAAATCGAGACTTGGTAACCTAATTCGTTTCTCTATAGAGGATACGATCAGCCGTATTTTATAGGTCTTTGTAGAACAGAAATAAAGTCCTTGTTGTCGTGCATGATGCAGGATTTCGGTCTCGAAATGTTGTTGAAATATAAAAGCCTCGGCTTACGCCTCGGCTTTTATCTTTCAAACAAATGCCTCGGCTTTTATCTTTCAAACAACATTTCTCGACCTCGGAGGTTCTCCTGCAACATTAAGAAAAATGCGGACAATATTTCTTTACTATTAATTCATTTAAAACTGCTTTTAATCAATAAATTATCATAAAGATATGACTGATCTTCCACTCTTTTCTTGCCAGGAAAACTTGATAATAAAAAAAATCGGTTAGATTTTTCAAGTCCATTTCCCTATAAATAAGATCAATTATAAATGTTTAATATCTTACTAATAATTGAAAATCTTAAGTTCCTATCCAAGATGACAAAGACCTTCTACTCACTTGTAACTGATATCTTACCGCTGTATTGAATTTATTGATCTTAGGGGATCAGTAACTGAAAAGATCTCACATTTGTCACGAAAAGCCGAGATCTTCTTATCAATTGAAAATAATTCTTTTCTTTGTATCAAAGATGCCTGGTCTATTCTCCCTTCGGAATTTTTACCTTTGTTTCAAAGATGCCTGGTCTATTCTACCTTCAGAATTCTTACCTTGGTATCAAAGATGGCTGGTCTTCTCTCCCTTCGGAGCTGCGTGGGGGACGGGGAGTCGGGGTCACTTTCGGAGGAGATGGATGTCAGACTGGAAGAACTCAGGCGATGCTCGAGCTTAAATGGTAAATAAAACTTTTGACAATTATCAACAATCAGTGATGACGTTAACTGTTCGTCAGAGTAGGTCAGTAGTGTATAAATAGGCAATACTGTTTAAGCTTAAGATGAAAATCTACAGTTTAGTGCTCGGATGTTTATATTATTGGAAAGTTCCTTATCAAATGGTAGCTCCGGTAATTATACTTTGTTTTTATGTTCAAACAAAAGAATCAAACAGAAATGAAAGCAGCTCTTTTGACAAAACATCATTTTTTTTGTGTAAAAAATCATTTTTCATAAAAAATTCATAACAACAAGAAACAGATTTTCCCTAATTCTTCAAGCTCTAAGCAGAAGCCAAGACTTTACCTCATATTATCGAAAACAACCATGTTCAATTCAGATGTAGTGAAAGTTACACAATAATCCATATACTCCTCAAATTTTTCTACGATCTGTAATATCACAGCAATTTATATTTTGAAATTACGATGTATATATAGAGAAGTGATAATATAATTAGTCCGTAAAGCGGGATTCCTTAGGGTACAGACAGGAAGTCTTGCCAGAGAGCTTGCAATCAACCGCTCGTTAACAGATCGGGAGGAACGTAGTGACAAATTACTTCTGACTGATATCAGGAAAAAAACCTCGCGGATATACTTTTTGGATTAAGGATAAATTTCTGATAAGTGTCATAAACAGCTGATATATGTCGTTTAATTTCTCCATCACTGTGTGTATTCTTTCGTAATAACAGATGATCATGTTTGATATTGACCCCCTTAAACGTCCGAAGTTAATTCTTTAAAAAAATTAGAAGGGAAAATAATAAATCGGGGTCATAAAACTAAATAAGAGCAATTTAAATAATTAAGAACTCGGATCGATTTTTGCAAAAGTTTTTTGTTCTTTCCCCATGGTAGTTATTTATTTTAAAAGTTGAGGGGACTATTTTTATAAATTCATTATTCTCAAGCATTATAGAAAATAATTCCACAAACATTGCTACATGTTTAGTTCTCTAGTCTCCTTTTATTTGGAATAACATTTCAAAGACTTAAGGATTGAGACATCTTGTTAATAAAATAAGAATAAGATACATTTCGGTCAATTAATATGAATCTATAAATCTAATAAAGATAAACCCTGAAAATTTCGATACATAAAAAAAAAAAACATCCGTTGTCTGCTAGAATAGCTTAGTAAGGACTGAAGCAAGGATTAATGTAAGATGATTGAAGGATATGTAAATAACGAACAGTATCAAATTCAATAAAACAATACAAAATAGGAACAAATCAAACACGGGACCTCCAAAACATCAGAGGTGGGATCAGGTGCCATGGAAGAGTGAGCATCCCCTGCCGACTGGTCACACCTGCCGTGTGCTCTTTGCTATGATCGAGAAATAACGGTCTTTTCGTCTATTTGTAATTATATTTTGCAATAACTGTCCATAGATTTTCATAAAAAAAGTGTAATTTCTGTATATAACATTCCTCTTTTATGGGCGTTAACGTGCAAATAGCACTTTGAGTTAGATGCACTAAGAATATAAAATAAAATCCTTGAATCCTTCTATAAATATTATTCACAAGAAAGCTTGAGATCCATTTTTCTTCATTTTACAAAAAAAAACCCTTTCTGCTCTTTCTTAGAAAAATGTGTTTCACGCGAAATTATCACTCATGCTAATATTAAAAACAAAGTCCAGTGTAAAGAAGATCGGGAAACGATTCTGATCTTCAGGCTATTTTCTTTGGAATGTTTGTTGTTTTCTTTACAGCTATCCCTTGATTCCTACTTTTCGTTATATCCTTTTGAATTGTGCGTTTGGGCAGCTTCTGGAATGTATTTTCACGAAACGAATAAGAAATATCCAACAAACTTTCTCTATAATTAATCTTACAATAGTTAAAAGTTTTCTGACCGCTGTCTTTTAACTGCTGTTCCAATTCTGCCAGATTTTGACTTTTTAAGCTTCTTTTTTAGTAAACTTATTTTTGTGATATTTTCTCCATTTCTAAAGTGAAACTGTAAAACAATTAATTTCTAAGATTTTTAGCAAATCACCGCTGTAACCTTCACTTTCGATTAAGGAATTTTTTTTTCAGTTCTGTCCTCTCCCTAGGCATCATTACTTATTTTCTGAAAAAAGATTTGCCTCTCTTTGTTCATTCAGTATGTAACACCGTGATTTATACCTTCATTCTTTAATTTTAGTTGCGTGGATAAAAAAAAAATATGTTTTATATCGTATCACATAAGATGCCTACGTCACAATGAGTTATGTCTATAAATTGTTACTCCGCTTGAATTTACTTTTATAATATGCTCAATTTGAAGCCATCTTTTAAAGGGGAAATTGGCTACACTAAAATAAAATTATAAGGAATGAAGCTTATTTTAACTATAGTATACGATATTACATAACTTGGGACAGCTTACGCTTTATTATGAACCGCCTTTCGGTTTATAAAGCGTAAATTGCCCCATATTATGTTATATATAACATATTTCGTATAACATACATGTACTTCATTCCTTAAATATTTAAAAATGTAGGTTTGCAATACTGGACAAGTGAGAATAATTTGATACATTGGGATATTTACATAATTTTCACAGAAAGCTCGGCAACACACTGCAGATGTTATTTAGAATACTAGTATTTCTAAGACCCATAATAACACCCATAAAACTACGATCAGTTTACAGTTTTTGAATGTGTTCCTCTGATTTGTTGATTAATTATGCAGTTCTGTGTAAAAAAGATGGTTTTATTTCATGATGAATACCAGGCATTTTGGCAAGCTTTAAGGTTAGTTATGATTTTCTGACACAACAGAAATTCCCTAATGTTATTATCTAAAACATATGGTTCATATTTAGATATTTTTATAGAAAAAGATGTTCATGGTAATCTAACAACCAAACTCCCAACCAAATGATAAATGTGATGATTTACTAACTTAAAATAATAATTATAGTCAACTTTCCTTACTAATGCAGCAATATACCTCCCTCAACTGCATACAGAGTTTATATATCTTAGTTGATTCGATACGTAAGAGCATGCTCTACGGATGAACAATTTTTTAAAAGAGATGAATTATTGACAAACAAGTTGCTGAAACAAGAATACCAGCAGTCTCGTTTAAAGTTATCATTTCGTAAATTCTATGGTTTATACAATGACCTTGACAGCAAATACAATTTATCATTGAGTCAAATGCTGACTTGCTTTTTCATGCTAATTAATAATCCATTATTTATACACTGAATTGACGACGTTTTTTTTCGTTATCTCTCGATCATGACAAAAGGAACACGGCGGATGTGACCGGTCGACAGGGGATGCTTGCTACTCAGTGGCACCTGATCCCACCTCTGATGTTTTGGAGGTCCGTGTTTGCTTTGCTCCTATTTGTATTGTTTTATGGACTTTTGAATACTCTTAAATATTGTACGTTATCTCTATATGTTTCATATAGATATATATATATATATATATATATATATATATATATATATATATATATATATATATATATATATATATATATATATATATATATATATATATATATATATAGATATACAGGTAGCTAAAATGTATCTTAATATGCGAAGATACCGAACAGTATTTAAGCTCAAAAATGCAAACAATACAATTCAGAGGCAGAGCAAACGCGGGTCTCTTTAACATCAAAGGTGGAATCAAGTGTCATTGAGCTGTGAGCATCCCCTGCAGACCGGTCATACCCGTCGTGTGCTCCTTATCATGTATCTGTATGTAGTTGATGGCTATACTATTAATATGAAAAAAGTCAGTCTGCATTTGACTTTATGAGAGATTGTATTCGCTGATATTGTTTTGAATCCTTTAACTGAACGGTACTGTTGATATTCTTATTTCAACAATTAGTCAATATCTTTTCTCGTTTAAGAAATTATTATTTCATGCTCGAATCAATTGCAACTGAAAGGCATAAACCCCATATAAGGTGGTAAGGGTATTCTAGATCTGTTATATAAATAATTGTGCGAAGTTAACTTTAGAAAAGTTGAAATTTCATTAATTTGTTTGTTAAAAAAAAGTCCAATACACTTAACCTAAAGTCAAAAGAGTTTACTACACTTTGATATAGAACATGTATATAATACATGTAGTATTTGTTAAGAAAACCCAAGACAACATTGCAATTATTTTGAAACGTTGATAAGGATTGGGATCAACTACTTGAAAAAGTTAATAAATACTTTAAAATACATTGATAATTTTGTCAATGACTTGCAATTACAATCACATTAATTTATCAACATATTTCTCTCAATTATTTTATAGAGTGTATTTAAATACAGATTAATTACTGTTCATTATATGTAATAATTAATATTCTGCAGCATTATCGTTATGACTTTTTCATTTGAAAAATGCTGTACATTTATAAACTTTATTAAGCATTTATTTATTGAATAAACACTAGCTTGTTCCAAACAGCATTGGTATGCATCGTTATGAAAGATCTTTTCAATATGTCATTTGGCAAAAAAGCATTTGAAATGAAATTAAAAAATACCTTTTCATTTTTGATATGTACTTATTTAAATGCATTCAATTACCTTTAATTGAAAGCAAAATCAATTACAAATGCTTTCAATTATTTTGATAAAATGTAATTAAAGTAAATTATATTTACACTTTGATATGGAAACATTTATTAACATTATTTTAGATAATATTAAAAATATCTTTCTATAATATTCAAGGATATGCATATACTTGTACATGTACTAACACATTTTACATAGGGAAATATACTGGTAGAGACAATGTTCAGTTGCCTTGTATAATAAAAATCTATTGGAACTACTTATAAGTTATTTTTTTCTTGTTTCGCATTACATTCATATTTTTCGCTATTGGATGGAAAATTACAATTAGAAAATCATTAGCCACAAGTGGTTTAATCAGGGAATCTGTCAGGAAAATCAGACGTATTTATTAATTGGAAACATGATGAGACTTTCGTTTTACCTCATTACACCAAAACAGATCAATACTTAATTTTCTCTAAGATTTTCCCTCTTCTCTGATCAGAAATCTAATTAAATGTCTATCAATGCTAGAACCAGCAGCATATTTAAATGTACTTTTTTCGATTCGACTCATTTCTCTTGATTTTAAGGTAAATAGCGAACATATAAAGCCTCTGGCGCATGGTGACACCACTTAGTATGCAAAATGCTTTTATACAGTATTTATGAAAAATGACTTTCAAGCCAGAATACAGCGTTATATCAATAATTTCCTGTTCTTTTATAGAGTTGTTTGTACAAATTTGGATCGTTTATCACTTAATCGAAACATACCGGTATACCACTGCAAAATGTTAATAATTTAACTTATTAGCAGCAGTATTTCTCTGTTATGCTTATAATTACTTTACTAATTGCAATTTAAGGAGACAATGAATTTCATTTTATTTTTTTTTCTTAAAGAAAGATACTTATCTGATTCTACGAGATTTACAAAGTACCTGAATCAAACTTGACAGAAAAAACGAGAGCATCTGACTAACTATAATATTTCAAATTTAGATATTTAATGAGAAAATAAGACGTACATTTTGTATAATCTAACGACATAAATTATGCTAAACCTGACGAATTCAAAACATCTACATAAACTTTCCTAGCATGTACAGCAATATGCCCTTAACACCTGCAAAAGGGGTTTACACGTACGTTTCCCGTTGATTCGATACACAAGAGCATAATTTACATAGAAATAATTTTCAAAACGAGGCTCGGTATTGACAAACAATTTGAAAAAAATATTACGTATATCAACAGAACTGTCGTATAAAGTGGTCATTCTCATGTTCTGTAAACGATACGGTTACCTTTTCAGGAAATACAATCTATCACTCAAATTCTGACTGATTTTTTTGTCACGATGACGTGTTCACGGATTTTTCATTCTGTCCGATCTGGACTGGAATTACACAGTGTATGTGACCGGTCTACGGGTATGATTTCTCATCTATGGTACCTGATCCTACCTCTAATGTTTTACAACTGTTAGATAATTGTTTTCTATCTCTCATTGTATGCATTTTTTTTGTACAAAGATATATATTGATTAAAAGAAAACACGTTCTTTATATACATAATTAAGATTTCTAAAAAGCAATTTAACCTTGAGGAAAGATATTTTTATTAGTTTCAAAAGATATGCTTACGTATTATAAAAAGAACGGCTTTCCTCTAATTTTCATCTGGCTGTTTCGTTAAATTGAAAAGAAGATTCGTAAAATCACAGAGGCTGCACTGAAGCTACTTTCAAAGAAAGACAGACATGATATAACCAGCTTTAGTGTCATTCTATGTATCAAAAGCCGAAGCTTACTGGACTAGAATACTTGTTTTAATTCAGCATTAGCTATTGATTATATTCTACAAGAAAGATACATATATATGATTCGTATGATCCAACAAAAGATAATAAATCCGTTTTGCAAGATGCTCTGTTATTGGTTCTCACATTTATATAATTGAACCGGTTTCCGTTAAGCCCTCGGCATGTCATTTATTTTGTATCAAGGAATCTCTTATGCTTCTTTAATGGCAAAAAGTTCCTCCACAGAATGAAATGTTTGGTTTGTTGGCGATAAAAAAAGATCGATTGCCAAAAGCATTATAGGTAGGCAAACTTTAAATAAAATTGTTTTCAGATTCATTCAAATTCATTAAAATTAAATTATAGAAAATGTCCTTTGCACATTTTTTTGTGATATTGCATATAGCTCTTACAAATCAATTTTATTTGTTTTTAAACTTTTCATTTATTAACAGAATATTATGAAAACTTAGGATAAGTTATTGACCTTTGACTTTCTTGTTCATTTTAATGCAGTTCCTTTGGAAAGCTAAGGTTATGAGAGTTCGAGGGCTCTACCGACTGAGCAACCGATAATCAACGGTGAGGGTGATAATCAAATAAAAGGTTTTGTTAAAATGTGTCTCATACCATTGGAAAATTCACTATCAATTAAGATTTCAACAAAAATCACCTTTTCCTGAATGTAATAACGGTTTGATCATATATTTTTTTTTACAAATTGTTCGATTATATATCATACATTGTTTTAAATATGGACGAAATAAACCGTGGCCCATCTCAAAAATCCAGTTAATGATCCTCTCTAATATTTCTACTGCGCCATAAATTTTATATCATTGTCGATTATTTTTTGCTTTCAGAAACTCTTCGTGAAAACCATGATCTAATGTAAACATTCGACTGCGAGACTTTATACATCATCGAGTCCTTGAGACTGGATTACAGGCACCTGCTGGGGAATTAACTATTGTTATTACAATCACTTTATCTGTGTTCCATTCACTGTATCAGAATTTTAATTATATTGAACATTTCGGAGACAAAGAAGATAACTGAAGTGGAGTTTGTTCACTCTGTATAAGTACAGTCATTTGCTTGCTAATCACTTAATGAAAAAATACCAATGTACAGGAAAATGATCAAAGATAATGAAGATTATAAATTGCGTCTTGTACCCTTGTACCTCAGAGTCTTGACTTAAGTAACTGTAGAAATTGACTTTTCTTGTTAATATCTATGAAAGCATGTCCTCTCAGTGTCTCGCTATGCAAAAATTGAGTATCTGTGTTTATCCATAGAACAATATTTACATTCCGTGTATTTTTCCTCATGAAATTCGTTAGAAATCCACGACATTCAAATTTCTATAACACTACTGAAGGCAAGCGTTTTTATAACTGTGTAAATATAGGTATGGGGTCAAGAGGTCATAGATGTGCGTTTGGATAAACGTTCGACGTAATTTCTCTGTGACGTCATAAAGGGTCGACGCGCGTTTAGTGGATTACATACATGCCGTTGGGTTTACAAAAATTAACGCATTTCACACGTTAAAAGTAACAATCAGGCAAATATAAAGTATGAATAAGTCACAAATGTAAATATAAGTAATAAGGTATCATTTTTTGAAAACAGTATTATCCATTAAACATTACAAAATAGATGTAAAACGGGTTGGCACATGATCAAATCTTCCATAAAGCCCTTCGGGCTTTATGGGATTTCAGTTAACAATTCAGCGTGACCAACAATTCGTTTTACATCTCAATTTAAAAAATAAAAAATGATACCTTATTTCTTAATTAAAGATATTGTCAGAATAAATTTTTTTTAAGTCGCAAGACTGCAAGATCAAGTTTAAAAAAGGTCAATGTTCTGGGCAAAGGAATGGTCTAATTACTAAGAATACAAATGTAGAGCATAAAGTTGTTGGTTTTTTTTCAAAAATTATATCAAAATTTGATGAATGATTTTGTGAGTATACCTGCAAGATGAAGGTCAAAAGGTCAATATATCTGCCAAAAGAAGCGTCTTATCACATACAATACATTGATGATCTAATTATGTCTCCGCATAAACGTTTATACAACTTCCAAACGCTGACCATGCCAAATATCTCCACTTCACCATAACTGATGATAGTAAAAGATCGCAGTTTAGATTTATTTAATATTTAGTCACTGAAAATATGTTCGCACTATTAATGATAGCAATTAGAACAGCATTTCGAACTAATGTTATTATTGAGTCCGTAATAGTATTTCTGAAACACCAATATTTTAGAGATTCTTTTTATTCCCTCTTTCGCATAGATCACCTAATATAACATTTATTGCCACAAACAGATAAGGTTGGAAATACATTTTTTTTAATCTCCAAATATTAAAATTTTTACTAACATTTTATAAGTTTACATGTATGTCATATAATATAAAGTAATACTAAACTCCTGAAAGTGGACATTAAAGCGAAATTTCTATTTTTTAATACCGTGGTTCCATTGTTTTCTAAATGTATATGCTTCAGAGTATAATAGAGATTATAAGACCTCTCGTCTGAGACTATTTAGATCCGCCCCACTGATGCTTACCTTTCCGTCATCAGAAGTTAGATCCCCAGAATCCTCATATTCTGAACCTCCGGGTCCTAATGAACCCTCCTTTTTCTTTCTTATTCTTAACAATGAACTCATATCGGTGATATATACCCCCTGTTCTTCGACAATGTCTAACTTTCATCACCCATGGAACACAACGTTGCCTATATTGTAGATCCGTTGCCAAATAACTGTCTCAGACCAAGCTAGCTTCCATCTGAATGAATTCACGATGACTTTAATTGAATAAGAGCGAGGTGTTTCCTCGACATGCACGGAAACCGCTTAATCCAATTCCAGCATTCAGAGTGTCAGGGTTCAGTATCAATTCTTTTCGTCTTATCCGTCAAAAGTCCAAATGATTAGCCAACAGAAAAATAGACACCAAAAAGTCTCTAAATGAAATAAATTTTTCCCTTTTTCATAAGTTTTCAGTTTTCCTCATTTTATGCATTTTCCGGCAAAGTACGATCAATTGCTTTTTCCCTTTCTTAACGAAATCTTGTTTAAGCACTATTTGATGAAAACTTCTTCAACCGTCGGCTAGACCTGCATGGGCTTCTTCATTGCGTTATTTTATAGTGGTACTAAAGTGAGGGAGAATTGGAGAGAGGATGTATCATTATCGTCGTGTCGGATACTGCACCTTTTCTCTTGTCTAATGACAATTGATTGAATTGCCCCCATTCTGTGACGGCGCTGCGGTAATATTTAGCAGTTATAAACAGCTATCATTAAATCTCTGAAAGACATGGCCCTGATCTTCCATTTCACCTAATGGAGTATTGTAACACTTGATTGCTTGTTTACGATGGTGTTGCACACCACGACAGTGTATTTATGTAGATCTTTTTTTTTAAATAAAAGGCATGCTCTTATTTCAATATTGATCTAATAGGGGCCATTACATTGTCTTTGTGATGGACGATAAGAACAATGTTTTGTTCAATTGACCTATTTAATGTTTTCGATGGAAAGCGTACACTATTTGATTCTGGTTGTCCCTGTTTAAATCTTGATTGCAATTGTTTTTATCAAATTTAACAAATACTCTCATTGACTGGTCCTGTAAAACTGTAGTAGTCTGACTAGTCGATCGGGCAACGAGGAACGCTTTAAATGAAAAGACCAAAATGCTTCACAAATGTTAAATTTTATACATAATTATTATGTATTGTCATTTGTGGGAGTATATCGAAGAGATATATATAGATAAAGGGTATATCGCTGCATAAGTAAGGGAAATGGACAATTAAAAAGTTAAAATCATCACGCTTATGATGAAGGTTTTATAGTTGGTTACTATCAACGTCTGTTTTATAGTGAAAAATCCACATATGAAAACAAATATGCCAGGCTTTGTGATATCTTTTATTTCACGCTCAATGGGATGTATCGTATCCAGGCAAGAATGAAAAAAAACATAGTTAATTGACAAATTGTCTACTATATACATAAATGTAAAGTTGAATGCAAAATGAATAAACGTTGACTCCTGATTTTGAAAAAAAAAATCCGTTTAAATTGAACAAAAAATAGGTGTGCTAATAATTGAGCGCAATTGATATAATTGGAAATTCCAATAGATTGTTTGAAGACCTGGACTCCAAAAACCACGTTGATATTGTCATTCAGAAAATCCAGCATCTTTTATATATCAACTTAAGACTACTTGTGTGTATTATCAGAATGTTTTTAACAAAATAGTTTTCAAATGATCGATGACAAGGTATATAATTAAACGAGTTTCATTTTTATTGAAAAAACAGTTGTCAATGATATCAAATTCCTGGACATTAATTTATCGTTTGAATAAATGTAAATAAAGTTTAGAAGCCTAGAGTTTTTATGTTGTTGATGTTAGTAAAATCTTTTGATTTCAAATTTTCCAAAAATGCTTAGAGTTTTTTAGTATCTACGCTTTTTGAATGTATTGACAGCACTCTTGCATCTTCTCCTTCACTACTATTAATGTCTTAGTGAGGGTTTAAGTAGAGGACTTGGTAGAACATTTACTGGAACCAACTGTGTATCTTTGTTTGTAAGAATGTTTATGATGTTTCGAAATCCAACTAATATAGAAATAAAATTCAGACAGATTGTTTGTTTGGGTATATTTAAAATATTCAAAACTGACATATGATTTTGAAGAATTTCCTCCTTAGAGAGAAAACAATGGGAATAAGTTGGATTGTCACATGTAGAATTGAATCCTAGTTTCTCTACAATACAAAAAAAAAATAATGAGCCTTTTAAAAGGGATCACTGATTATGTAATTTATCTATTATTTTCACTTTTAAATTATTGGTCACAAAAGGAAAGTTGGATTTCATTTTGCCCCTTAATCGATTAATGCATCCTAAAGTAAAAGTCCAAAGTCTTCTACTTTTTTGGAGCCAAAAAGAGTAGGGGAGGGGGGGGGTATTGAGTGAAAACAAGGAGGTGACAATGCTCACCGCTGTACTTTGAAAATCTGCAATTTATTTTGACTTTTGCCGAGGGCAACATCATGCACATGCAACAATAAAAGAGCTTTGCTACAAGTTTAATTTGTATATCTTATGTATTGCTTTTTCAAGTCATGGCAAATTTTGTATTTCTTATTTTTATAAATGTATTTAAATGAAGCAGAAGTTTTCCAACATTTTGTACATGAAAAGAAGAAAACACTTGCTGTGGCCTTCAACTCGACATTTAGATGTATATCGACATCGTATTGTCAATTAACAATGATTTTTTTTTTCATCCTTACTTCGATACGATATATACCAGTGAGGTTGAGATAAAATATACCACAGAGTCTGACACATCTCTCTCATATTTAGATATTTTAATCGAAAAAGACGTTAATGGAAATCTAACAACCAAGCTCTATGGCAGCTTCCCTTACTTATGTACATGTAGCAATATACCACATACGGGGTTTATATATTGAGTTTATATATCTCTGTTGATTCGATACGCAACAGCATGTTCTCTATATGTACAATATCTTAAACGGGGTAAATTATTGACAAAGTTGATGAAACAAGAATATAAGCAGTCTTACTTAAAGTCATCATTTCGAAAGTTCTTTGGTCGATACGATACAATGACCTTGTCAGCAAATACTATTTATTATTGAGTTAAATGTTGACTGACGTTTTTCATACTTATTGTTAATCCATTATTTACACATTGAATCGACGACGGATTTTTCGGTTATTTTTCGATCCTGACAAGGAGCACAAGGCGGGTGTGACCGGTCGACAGGGGATGCTCACTCCTCTATGGCACCTGATCCAAACTCAGATGCTTCGGATGTCCGTGTTACTCTGCTCCTATTTTGTATTTTTTATTGGACTTTTGAGCTTCAATACTGTTCGTTATCTCCATATATTTCATCTTTCCATGCAAAGTAGCACTGTTTTTCTGTGGTATTACATTTTAGTTAGTAATTGAGTTTCCCTATGTAACCACGTTGCATAGAGAATATGTTCAGGCGCTGAGACAGGGCTTGACAGTAAATGCACGCTTTCCATGTTTTTCCGTCCAAACCTTTTCATTTTTTCAAAAATCTGGAAACTGCCTACATGTGGGATATTGATCTCCATAATCATTTATATCGCTTATTACCCTGTTTTTTATCTTCGCCTTTTTAATTTGAAATATTCTTTTGCTAAATTTTTAAGTTATTTACAGGCTTCTATGCAGTTTCGCATTCCAGTTGTTTTACTTACTTTCTTTCCTATGAAAGAAAATATTTCACAAAAAGGATACATGTACTTGCATAAAATCATAAATCATAAAAACACATTCAACCAATTATTTTTCTACAAAGACAATGTTGCATATAAGAAGTTCAACCAACCATTACACGTGCGTTCTTGATTCAATCTTGATTCATATTTAAGGCATAGCAAACTGGATACAAACATTTCAAATGTCCCTATTCACTTATCCTTATTCTCAAATTATTTTTAAGATATAATTAAAGGATAATTGTGGGTATTTTGTAAAACTTCTTCCGAAATTAAGCCATTTTTATTGAATATGTTATTCGATAAACTTGAAAACATATATACAGTTAAATAACGCTCTATAGAAAAGTCCCTAAATATATATATAATAAAAAAATAAAAGCTTTAAGAAAGTTAACGATATCTCTCTAATCTTTGGTTAAACATGGTAATCATTGCTAGCTTTAGAGATATATTATTTGGATGATTAAAAGAAATAAGATGTACTCTATACATAATACAGATATTGGTCTAGGGTCATCTCAACCGTGCACAATATATGCTATCCGGATTCCATATAATCATCTTAGAGTCCCTCAAGAGAAATAAAACTCCCATTAACATTGTGTACCTCAGACGTCGCAATTCCATTTACGTTATCACGACAGATTCCTAATGCCGATTTTTCTTCATTTCTGTTCCTGTATGCATGCACGGACACTAAGAGCCCTCGTGTGGAAGATTTTATTCCTGGAAATATTGGTGGGAGGGCAATCAGTCAGGCTCGTTTATGAGCCTGTCGGTGGTTGCCTTCTATAAATTCATTTCTTATGACATTGATCTGTAGAGTGAAAGCTTTCAAAGATGTTAAAAGTAAGGACTTGATTACATGAGAGATTTGATTGGCTGTTTTATTGATGCAGCTAGACTTGACTATCAAATTTAGAAAACTTTACTCTTATCTAATCAAATATCAATGAATATTTTTTTTATTTGAATATTTTTTTCAAAGTAACTCATTAAAAAGTATTCGAAAACAAAGTTTTAAGTAAAAAGTACTCGTCAACTTCAATTACTTGTTTAGAAATATCCCTTTATCACTTGCATATGGGATTCATGTCTCCCAATAGATATCGATCATGCTCTACGAACGAATAATTTCTAAAACGATCGATCGAGTAAAGCTATTTACAAACACGTTGATGAAACAACGCTTCATGGTCGATACTATGACCTTGTAAGAATTTGGTACAAATTATCCTTAAGTTGAATCCTGACTTACTTTTTTCATGCCAATTGCTATATATTTTTCCTAATTGAATTGTCCACATAATTTTCAGCGGCTCAGATCATGACAAGAACCACATGGCAGATGTGACCGGTCAAATGGAGATACTTACTTCTCACCGATACTCGATCAAATCTCTGTTGTTTTTTAAGCTAATGTTTGTTAAGATCCTGATTTTTATTGTTTAATGGTCTTTTGAGCGTTATTGCCATATATTTCAATATATTATTTAATTGTACACGAGGTTT